AGTTTCAAGACAATAGGCCTATCGGTTTTCCTTGAAATATGTTATCAGTGTTGTATTTATGCTAAAAAAAGTGAAAAACTGCATAACTTTTCTAAAAATGGTTTGATCAGGCTGATTTTCAAATTCAACCTGTATTTTAGTAAGACTGATCACTCCTGTGAGTTTAAAGACAATAGGCAGATCTGTTTTCCTTGAAATGTGTTATCAGTGTTGCATATATGCTTATAGTGTTATCACTGAAAGTGTGCGGCAACGGCGACAATGACAGATGCAGGTGAAGGCTATATGTACAGACACATTTGTGTCTGTACATAAAAAAGAACAAAAAACTAATCTAACTGCCCTCAGCTTGAAACAAAATGTTTTCGATCTGAAGAATGTCTGGTTGCTTACTGATTTCCAACTGTCGCTGGATGCGTGCTTTGCAGCGGTCACGGTAGTCAACCTGACACGCGTTGTACTCATTCATAACTTCCACAAATTTACGTGATAATGTGGCGTGCTAAAATCAAACAAGTCAGGAAAACAAAAGGATAATTAAAATCAGTAGACAGCACTACATAAAGGAATACAGAATAATGGTTGAATAAAAACAAAACATAAACACATATAAAAACTGTTACACAAAGCTGAAATGAAAAAGATAAGAATAAAATAAATAGATAAATTAAAGAAACATCTCCTATAGTCTGTGGAATTGCTAAAATGGCAGAGAAAATACATATGAAAATAAACGTCATGGTCGAGTTGGAAAACACACAGAGCTCAAAGCTTACTGATTTCCATCTGCCTCTTAATCCTGGCCTTACAACCCTCTCTGTAGTCAACTTGTGCTTTGTTGTACACTTTCATCACTTCAATAAATTTGCGTGAGATGGTAGAATACTAAAAATGAACAAATTACTGAATGAAGCTGCAAGCCACGATAAAAGGCGAACACAGACAATGCCTTTAAGCTGCCTCCTCGTGCCCATGAAGAGGGCCCATGTAATGTGAACAACAACACCTAAATGTACAATATGAGTCATTATAATGAATTCAATATCTAGTTTAATTCAATGTCTTTCAAGCATTTCAAAAACAGGACATCTTACTTTCAACAAGTAAAATATACAAAAGGAAAAGAAAATTTAAGAGTTAGGTATCACTTAAAATGCTCTAGGGTAAAACTGTAAGTTGAATTGATGTAAAAATTTTGCTTTATCCTTTAAAAAAATACATTTATTATCCAATTTTTTATGACTCTTTCTACAATTGATGCAAAAATATCACCGTGCTGGTGAAGTCTAGTGCCTATAATGCCAACCTGTGTCTTTCGTATCCTAAGATCTGCTGAAGATTTGTTGGAATGTTCTTCTTGTTCTATATTTTGGTCAATAACTGAAACAAAAATCAGCAAATACAATGGTTGCATAGCAAGGATGATACTTTTAACTTTGACAGCTCATTGTACACAATTTACAGAAGTACAAACTTAAATATTCAACAGTTTTCAAATATATATAATATATATATCAAATTTAGGAAAATTAATATTCTTAAAATCTTACAACACGGAAAAAGTTCACAAATTTAAGTGGAGGTAATCAACTGTCACTCTTTTTAAAATACAGGACATGAGCCTTATGTTTTAGTGTCCAGTTATATAAATTTATTCATATATAAGATAGCACTGGAGTGTAAACAGTTTGGCAGATAATGCTGATACAGCTGACATTTAACAAAGCCAGCAATTATTGATACCTTCTGTGACACAATTATGTCCAAAGAGAATTTGTCTAATGACTTATTAAGGTACAGCTTAATGGGTGAAATTTTACAGCAGCTTCAAACTTCAAAGGGAGATGGTTCAATGCATGCATTTTATCAGCAACATTCCAACAACATTAGCATGCTTACCCTTTAACTTAGCTCTAACTTTATTTGCTGTTTTCTTAATGTCAGCCATTAGTTCTTCTAATTCTTCTTTGATTTCTGAAAAGAGAAGACATTTTCACTTAAAATAACACCTTGCACAATCGAAGCGCACTTGAAGAAAGAAATAACAGCATTGTTATAACAAAATAAATAAATGAAACAATGAACTTACTTATACCTAACAATGCAATAAATCATTAATATTTTTACATCATGCTATGTTAAATGGAATGCTTTATATATCTTATGAGTGATGTGTGTGAGGACATGATTGCAAATGTACATGTTGAAAGATGTGCTCAGTTCATCAAAGACTGGAAATTGGTCTTAAAGGCTTGTTTACAGTCCATTTGTGACAAGTTAACTATTTCTATGATTCTTGCCATCCCCACAACTTGGCATGGCACGTGAATTTGCAGTAATAGTGTTAGGTGGAGCAGCAAAGTGATTAGATTGGCTCCTTTTGGTAAGAAATTGTAATTGTAGATATAATTGTCTCAGACACGAAGCTACTACATTCCAGTATTATAACTGGGTTACAGATAAGAAGTTACACATATGATTATGTATACCACATATGACAGCTCAGAGGCCTCAATTGCATGCACAGGTTGTACTAACACATACATGAACATATCATGTTGTGAAACAAATTCAATTTGTATCTGGCAACTGCATAGTCCCAACTTCCACAAAAATAATAGTCTGCATAATGGTAGCCATTTCCCAGCATTAATCAAAATATACAAAAATTAATGTCATATGAACATCACCACCAGTCATGCAAGATGTATGGAGTATTTTTTTTTTTTTTTGGCATTGTAGTACCATATATATCTTGTTGTATACCAAGAAACCTGTACACTCTGGACCTTCTTTATTTTGCCTATGGTGTCTCCGTGCATCTCTGTCTGTCAATTGGCCTTTTAATTGCAAAGGAACAGATGATCCATGGACTAACTGGTTTAAATCTTGGCTTTGAGGATTATTACCATGGCCCATAGGAGCCTACGTGTGCGTCTTTTAGACGCCCCTTTACTTGCGAACACGACAAGACCTATGCCGAGTTCGTCTTTTACTACAGAGCTTTGAGAGCCGCAAATGACATGGCTGTGTCTCTTTCGCCACTTACTGAACGCGTTAGATGCGAGATTGACACGGCCCATGTCGCGTTCGTCTCTCAAATGACACTGTTATAAAACATGAAATAGGCATGACGTGTGGTTTTCGCAGCTGAATAAGTAGACACTTATAAGCGAAGTTGACATGACCTTGAGAGTCATGTCGCTTTCAAATCTTACAAACCTCCAACAAATTTTATCTCCACACAGACGCACGCAACATGTACTATTGGACATGGGTCAGTTGAAACTCTATTAACCTAAAGAGTTGAAACCCTATTAACCTAAAGAGCGACATGGGTCTTGTCAATCTTGCATCTAACGCGTTCAGTAAGTGGCGAAAGAGACACAGCCATGTCATTTTCGGCTCTCAGAGCTCTGTAGTAAAAGACGAACTCGGCATAGGCCTTGTCGTTTTCGCATGTAAAGGGGCGTCTATAAGACGCACGCGTAGGCTCCTATGGGCCATGGTAGATTATCACTAGGCCCCTGCAGGGCTGACAAGTGTCGTCGGTGGAGAGACCATTAGGGAATTACAGCATCCCTTTCAAATAGGGTCAGCCATATTTGACAACTTGCACCCCATTTCCATAGATTAGATCGACCTACTGTAGATCGACCTAACTCCCTGGGGGTTCACGCTAAATAGCTGTCAGCCGGGCGGACACGAAAGTTAATTACCCCCTTCCAGCTTGTAGTAGGCGGGACGGACATTTAAGTCAGATTATCTGAAAGTAATCTAGTGAGACTCCCCGCGGGGATAGATCGACCTAAAATCTATGGGAATAGAGCCTTGGTCCACAGATCATCTATTCTGAATGTGGCCAAAGATGGCTTGTATTCGTGTTTGTTTGTCTGCGTGTGTTTAAATGGATTTGGAAGATGTTTTGAAAGTAATGCTATCTGCCTCTCAAAGTCACACATTGCTCAAATGTGGTCAAGTGGATAATGCACTGTAACACCAAGTCAGTGAGTTGCATGAACACAACAGATGAATAGAATTAAGTATACAAAATGCCAGGAACAAGCAAGGACAAAGGAATCATTTTTCCCTTAAAAACAAAATCCAGCCTTTGCTCCAAGATGAATCTTTATAAATTGATAGGTGAATTAACATTATAACATGGTGTCCATAATACTGTAAACTGCAAAAGCAGTTGCTGTACACCCTTTCTATTTATTCATTCATTTAATTTCTTTTTATTTCAATCAAATTAAATTTGAGACAGTGGGAATGTATATAGAGCTGAACATAGAGCTGCAAAAGGCAATGCATGAATACTAGATTAACTTATCATAGACTGCATTCCCACAAACGTTAGATCCATCTATCCCTGTTGGCAGTCACACTAGATTGCTGTCAGTTTAGTCGGCTTAAATGTTTGCCCCGCCTACTAAAAGCTGTAAGGCGGTACTTAACTTTCGTGCGCTCAGCTGACAGCAATTAGCATGAACCTCGGGGGAGTTAGGTTGATCCAGATGGATTTAAGTTGAAAGTCCCTTGATCTTATATTTAACAATGACATTTTAATATCTTATAAATAAATAAATAAATAAAACATTGATTCATATTCAACTGATCAACTTAAACTTCCTTAAAGAGATATGGTGCTGATGGATTTTTTTCTGTTTTTATTTTACAAAACTAAACTGCATTTCAGAGTACAAATAACCAAAATAAATTCTCAATTGGCAACCAGCTCTTAAGATGCAGGAGATACACCCATAGGTGCTGGTGTTGAACACATGTCACTATATATACCAACTGTAAAAGCTTGCATTGTTTTCAATGCATAAAATTAAAATGAACTGGTGCACTGGGACTGCTGCATTGATGAATCTAATTTATATAGTGCACAACTAATAATCAGAACATGCAGCTCTGACTAAGAATTTTCATAAAGGTTAAAATTCACAATTTCTGTATTATCCACAGGAGAGTTTATCAGTTGTTAATTATCCGTTATTAAGAATAGTGGTTTTGCCCAGATATCCAATAAAATGTAAATCAATCTCAAGCAACTTTTCACGTTGTTACAAGGTTACATTTTCATTGTTGTTGCTTTGTCTATGTGTCTGAACAAGATAGCTCAAGAAGATCATTGCAAATTGTGGTTAAATGTTCAGGATAGAAAGTTATTTAGCAGGGAAAAAACTGATTGCAATTTCAACTGAATCTGTGTCTCAAATTTTTTTTAGTTTTTTTTTCTAATTTTTTCTTTGCAGAGACCTGCTCTCTTGTTAGCTGCTCTCTTCTAGTTGTTAATGTGTCTTGTGTAGCAAGAAGAAAAAAGGAATACAAGTATGAAATAACACAATCGTGAAGGATGCTAGATTAAAAATTCGACATAGATATTGGTCAGCTAAGACTAATGTACAAACCTTTAACACATGGTCACAAAATACAGATCTATAAAAAGTTTGAACCTATATTATACCATAGTAGCTTCAATTTCTCTATATTCATACAATGCTTGTCTGCAAAGCTAAGGTCCATCTCCTAAGAATATGTTTAAACATTTTGACAAACTGCTATCATATCAAAATCAACAGCAGTTAAAACAATCTCACATAAATTTGCAATCAATCAGAAATAAAAGCAGACAAAAGCAGATAGCTTGAGACTTAAAAACTGCTAAAATATCATTCTAGTATCCCATAAATCTATACATCTCATGAAGCCGGCGAGTGGTTGTTTTCTGGACTTGATGTGTGGTTCAAGTTGAGAAAACTTATTGATTTTAGTGGTGTGATGCACTAGGGTTGGTACACTAGATCTATAGAAGGTAAATAGCAGTGAAAAGACTGCTTCCCAGTGATGACGGGAATCTGCATATTTACTGAAGACATTGAGGTATATTGCAGTAGTATTCAGTATGATTAACAAAACACAATTTGACCACACAATGCCTACTCTGTGGAAAAAAAATTCCCCCACTACCTGGAAAATATTCATAAAGATCAAGCCTGAACACTTCTATTCTCTGATGAATTTGGATTCCATCTTTTTTTTGTCTATTTACTCAGAGCTAGGAGGCCATTTTATTGGGATAAATTTCTTAAGTAAACTGTGGAAGTATGGATGAAATTAGTATTATATCCATGACATACATACATACATACATACATGCACACACATACATACATACAATACATGTATACATATATAGCTATGCTGGTGTACTAGTAATTCATTTAAGTGTGAAAAAAAGGCTATCCCGGACATAAACAGATATGGGTAATTAGAATATAGCCATTTACACTCTACAGGCTAATATTAAGTATCAACCGAATAGAAATAGTAGAAAGAATCAGTCATTTCAGCTATAATGGGGAAGAGTGAAAAGACTGGTAAATTTTACACTTTAATATAGATAACAAGAAACTGTTGATGAATTCATAAGGGTACACAGACTACACAATGCCAAAATGGGCCATTTAGGCTTAGCCAGAAGATAAACTAAAATCTCAATGAGCGCATTCTCAACGAATTAAGCCAGGCTTTACAAAGCCGGTGACCTAAAAATGGCGGACGTACATGAAAGAAAAACACCCCNGTTATGTGAACAACAACACCTAAATGTACAATATGAGTCATTATAATGAATTCAATATCTAGTTTAATTCAATGTCTTTCAAGCGTTTCAAAAACAGGACATCTTACTTTCAACAAGTAAAATATACAAAAGGAAAAGAAAATTTAAGAGTTAGGTATCACTTAAAATGCTCTAGGGTAAAACTGTAAGTTGAATTGATGTAAAAATGTAGCTTTATCCTTTAAAAAAATAAATTTATTATCCAATTTTTTATGACTCTTTCTACAATTGATGCAAAAATATCACCGTGCTGGTGAAGCCTAGTGCCTATAATGCCAACCTGTGTCTTTCGTATCCTAAGATCTGCTGAAGATTTGTTGGAATGTTCTTCTTGTTCTATATTTTGGTCAATAACTGAAAAAAAAATCAGCAAATATAATGGTTGCATAGCAAGGAAGTTACTTTTAACTTTGACAGCTCTTTGTACACAATTCACAGAAGTACAAACTTAAATATTCAACAGTTTTCAAATATATATAATATATAGCAAATTTATAAATTAATATTCTAAAAATCTTACAACATGGAAAAAGTTCACAAATTTAAGTGGAGGTAATCAATTGTCACTCTTTTTAAAATACAGGACATGAGTCTTATGTTTTTGTGTCCAGTTATATAAATTTATTCATATATAAGATAGCACTGGAGTGTAAACAGTTTGGCAGATAATCCTGATACAGCTGACATTTAACAAAGCCAGCAATTATTGATACCTTCTGTGACACAATTATGTCCAAAGAGAATTTGTCTAATGACTTATTAAGGTACAGCTTAATGGGTGAAATTTTACAGCAGCTTCAAACTTCAAAGGGAGATGGTTCAATGCATGCATTTTATCAGCAACATTCCAACAACATTAGCATGCTTACCCTTTAACTTAGCTCTAACTTTATTTGCTGTTTTCTTAATGTCAGCCATTAGTTCTTCTAATTCTTCTTTGATTTCTGAAAAGAGAAGACATTTTCACTTAAAATGACACCTTGCACAATCGAAGCGCACTTGAAGAAAGAAATAATAGCATTGTTATAACAAAATAAATAAATGAAACAATGAACTTACTTATACCTAACAATGCAATAAATCATTAATATTTTTACATCATGCTATGTTAAATGGAATGCTTTACATATCTTATGAGTGATGTGTGCGAGGACATGATTGTAAATGTACATGTTGAAAGATGTGCTCAGTTCATCAAAGACTGGAAATTGGTCTTAAAGGCTTGTTTACAGTCCATTTGTGACAAGTTAACTATTTCTATGATTCTTGCCATCCCCACAACTTGGCATGGCACGTGAATTTGCAGTAATAGTGTTAGGTGGAGCAGCAAAGTGATTAGATTGGCTCCTTTTGGTAAGAAATTGTAATTGTAGATATAACTGTCTGAGACACGAAGCTACTACATTCCAGTATTATAACTGGGTTACAGATAAGAAGTTACACATATGATTATGTATACCACATATGACAGCTCAGAGGCCTCAATTGCATGCACAGGTTGTACTAACACATATGTGAACATATCATGTTGTGAAACAAATTCAATTTGTATCTGGCAACTACATAGTCCCAACTTCCACAAAAATAATAGTCTGCATAATGGTAGCCATTTCCCAGCATTAATCAAAATATACAAAAATTAATGTCATATGAACATCACCACCAGTCATGCAAAATGTATGGAGTATTTTTTTTTTTTTTTGGCATTGTAGTACCATATATATCTTGTTGTATACCAAGAAACCTATACACTCTGGACCTTCTTTATTTTGCCTATGGTGTCTCTGTGCATCTCTGTCTGTCAATTGGCCTTTTACTTGCAAAGGTTGCATTCGGAACAGATGATCCATGGACTAACTGGTTTAAATCTCGGCTTTGAGGATTATCACTAGGCCCCTGCAGGGCTGACAAGTGTCGTCGGTGGAGAGACCATTAGGGAATTAGCAGCATCCCTTTCAAGTGGGGTCAGCCATATTTGACAACTTGCACCCCATTTCCATAGATTAGATCGACCTACTTTAGATCGACCTAACTCCCTGGGGGTTCACGCTAAATAGCTGTCAGCCGGGCGGACACGAAAGTTAATTACCCCCTTCCAGCTTGTAGTAGGCGGGACGGACATTTAAGTCGGATTATCTGGAAGTAATCTAGTGAGACTCCCCGCGGGGATAGATCGATCTAAAATCTATGGGAATAGAGCCTTGGTCCACAGATCATCTGTTCTGAATGCGACCAAAGATGACTTGTATTCATGCTAGTTTGTTTGTGTGTGTTTAAATGGATTTGGAAGATGTTTTGAAAGTAATGCTATCTGCCTCTCAAAGTCACACATTGCTCAAATGTGGTCAAGTGGATAAGGCACTGTAACACCAAGTCAGTGAGTTGCATGAACGCAAAAGATGAATAGAATTAAGTATACAAAATGCCAGGAAAAAGCAAGAACAACATCATGATGTACCACAAGGAAAGAATCATTTTTCCCTTAAAAACAAAATCCAGCTTTTGCTCCTAGATGAATCTTTATAAATTGACAGGTGAATTAACATTATAACATGGTGTCCATAATACTGTAAACTGCAAAAGCAGTTGCTGTACACCCTTTCTATTTATTCATTCATTTAATTTCTTTTTATTCCAATCAAATTAAATTTGAGACAGTGGGAATGTATATAGAGCTGAACATAGAGCTGCAAAAGGCAATGCATGAGTACTAGATTAACTTATCATAGACTGCATTCCCACAGATTTTAGATCCATCTATCCCTGTGGGCAGTCACACTAGATTGCTGTCAGTTTAGTCGGCTTAAATGTCTGCCCCGCCTACTAAAAGCTGTAAGGCAGTGCTTAACTTAGTGCGCTCAGCTGACAGCAATTTAGCATGAACCTCGAGGGAGTTAGGTCGATCCAGATGGATTTAAGTTGAAAGTCCCTAGATCTTATATTTAACAATGACATTTTAATATCTTATAAATAAATAAATAAATAAATAAATAAATAAATAAATAAATAAATAAAACATTGATTCATATTCAACTGATCAACTTAAACTTCCTTAAAGAGATATGGTGCTGATGGATTTTTTTAAAGTCTTATTTACAAAATTAAACTGCATTTCAGAGAACAAATAACCAAAATAAATTCTCAATTGGCAACCACCACTTAAAGATGCAGGAGATACACCCAAGAGGTGCTGGTATTCAACACACGGCAACTATATGTACCAATTTGTAAAAGCTTGCATTGTTTTCAATGCATGAAATTAAAATGAACTGGTGCACTGGGACTGCTGCATTGATGAGTCTAATTTATATAGTGCACACCTAATAACCAGAATGTGCATCTCTGACTAAGAATTTTCATAAAGGTTAAAATTCACACTTTCTGTATTATCCACAGGAGAGTTTATCAGTTGTTAATTATCCGTTATTAAGAATAGTGGTTTTGCCCAGATATCCAATAAAATGTAAATCAATCTCAAGCAACTTTTCACGTTGTTACAAGGTTACATTTTCATCGTTGTTGCTTTGTCTATGTGTCTGAACAAGATAGCTCAAGAAGATCATTGCAAATTGTGGTTAAAAGTTCAGGATAGAAAGTTATTTAGCAGGGAAAAAACTGATTGCAATTTCAACTGAATCTGTGTCTCAAATATTTTTTTTTTAGTTTTTTTCCCCTTTTTTTCTTTGCAGAGACCTGCTCTCGTTAGCTGCTCTCTTCTAGTTGTTAATGTGTTTTGTGTAGCAAGAAGAAAATAGGAATACAAGTATGAAATAACACAATCGTGAAGGATACTAGATTAAAAATTCGACATAGATATTGGTCAGCTGAGACTAATGTACAAACCTTTAACACATGGTCACAAAATACAGATCTATAAAAAGTTTGAACCTATGTTATACCATAGTAGCTTCAATTTCTCTATATTCATACAATGCTTGTCTGCGAAGCTAAGGTCCATCTTTTACGAATATGTTTAAGACAGACTGCTATCACATCAAAATCAAAAGCAGTTCAAACAATCTCACATAAATTTGCAATCAATCAGAAATAAAAGCAGACAAAAGCAGATAGCTTGAGACTTAAAAACGGTTAAAATATCGTTCTAGTATCCCATAAATCTATACATCTCTTGAAGCCGGCGAGTGGTTGTTTTCTGGACTTGATGTGTGGTTCAAGTTGAGAAAACTTATTGATTTTAGTGGTGTGATGCACTAGGGTTGGTACACTAGATCTATAGAAGGTAAATAGCAGTGAAAAGACTGCTTCCCAGTGATGATGGGAATCTGCATATTTACTGAAGACATTGAGGTATATTGCAGTAGTATTCAGTATGATTAACATAACACAATTTGACCACACAATGCCTACTCTGTGGAAAAAAAATTCCCAACTACCTGGAAAATATTCATAAAGATCAAGCCTGAACACTTCTATTCTCTGATGAATTTGGATTCCATCTTTTTTTGTCTATTTACTCAGAGCTAGGAGGCCATTTTATTGGGATAAATTTCTTAAGTAAACTGTGGAAGTATGGATGAAATTAGTATTATATCCATGACATACATACATACATACATACAATACATACATATATAACAAGGCTGGTGTACTAGTAATTCATTTCAGTGTGAAAAAAGGCTATCCCACACATAAACAGATATGGGTAATTAGAATATAGCCATTTACACTCTACTGGCTAATATTAAGTATCAACCAAATAGAAATAGTAGAAAGAATCAGTCATTTCAGCTATAATAGGGAAGAGTGAAAAGACTGGTAAATTTTACACTATAATAAAGACAACAAGAAACTGTTGATGAATTCATAAGGGTACACAGACTACACAATGCCAAAATGGGCCATCTAGGCTTAACCAGAAGATAAACTAAAATCTCAATGCCAAGATGATGTTTTTTTTCATAACATGATTATACTGAATGGCAAAATGGTTAACAGCTTGCCTCCACATCTGGTGAAGAGGTAAAAAGCTGACTTTTAAAGAACAGATCAAACTTGTTGATTTCTGTCCCTTCTTGGAAGTGAAAGCTTTGAGATGAAATGGAAAAAAAAAAAAAATTTGCAATCCAGCATTTTGCTCCGACAGGTGTCTTTGTGAAAGTGATTTGAATAGAACCTTGAATGATTTGCCACTACCTTGCCAGGACAGTTCATATCACTAATGAATAATCAATGGCCATATCATGGATGACAAAACCCTTGCCTCACAGCATGTATTAAAATTTCCAGGAAAGCATCCACATACAGCTTCTTTATGTTTTCTGTTTTCTCTATTTCATTAAGCAAAATAGTGTTCCTAAGTCAATTTTTAACATAATTTTCAAATTTAGAAATTAAAGTAGGCTAATGCACACTGAATAACACCCTAGAATAACTGGTAATTTCAATTACAGTTATCAACTTGTCTTACTTTAAGTGTTAACTCTTAGACAGAATGATCAAAGAGCAAAAGTAGGAACCACATATTTCATTTACTACTTTTTATCTTTTTTTTTAGTCCAAAGCATCCATCTTAAAATGTTGGTAACATCATGTCTGGAGTGCAAATTTAGGTTGAATGAATATTTTCAAATTATGGCATAGGGTAGTTAAACCTGCAGTAAGTTCATTTAATGTAGCAAATAATTTCTATGTAAATAGTTGCCATGAGATGCCACTAATAATTTACCAGAATTAAAGCACACTGCAACACAAAAAGTAGTAAAAATATTTTAAAAAATTGACTCAAAAATGTGAAATATAGATCAAGGCGGCCAATTCATGAACTTTACCAAGACAGGCCTATCCAACTACCAGACTCGGCACTGAATGATCCTGAATTCACCAGAATATCAGACCACATTACCCGTTTTCAAGGTGTGCATCAGTACGCGCTTCGAGGTATCAGACGCGACACCGCTCTTGCCTAGTACGCAATGTGAAAGTGATGATTCTCAGCGGGGTTGAAAGTAGTGCATCTCATCTCAAAATTTGTTTCGGGATATGATGCTGTGAAATGCGTACTGAGGCACACCTTGAAAATGAGAAATGTGGTCCGATCTACTGGTGAATTCGGGATCATTTGGTGCAGAGTCTGGTAGTTGGGAAGGCCTGCAAGAGCCCTGCTCTAAATTTGGTAGTCTCAACTAATCCTTTCTCAACTTAATGTGTTAAAAATGTTTAATGACTTTGGTGACCTTGAGAGGTTAAATTTGGTGGTCTTCTCTAACATACATTAAGGTACAGGTATTCTTTACTTAATAATAAGTTTCTGATTTTGTGTATGTTCTACTTGCTACTGTTCTGAGATGCAATGGACGACAGGGTTTTCACTTACTTTCATTTGTGGCTGGAGCAGATAGAATTTCACTGTGTTTCTTTTTTACTTGGTCTACATTTTCAGCTATCTTGTCTATCATCCCTCGTATTTCTTCAACCTAAAAAGAAAAACATAAAAAACATATATTGTTAGAATAACGTACTCTAAGATAATTCCTTCAAACTTGGGTATATATACTAGATTTTACTAATTTTTTTAGATTGATTTTTACTCCAATGAGAGAAATGGCAAAGGGGGGATCATTTGGCACAACCAGTAGATTCAAGAATTTCCTTTCAAAATTAATTTTGCTTAAAAAATTTTTATTTTCGACATTTTTTTGTTGATACAAAGATTTTTCTACTATTAAAATATCCTTGTTTATTTGACAAATTGAAATTAAAACCAAGAAGTGGGAATTTATCTTTCTTTTTGTTGCATCTAAATGGAGTAATTTCATAAATGTCAAAACCTTGACTACATTCAATTGTACATTGGTCCTAGCAGAATTGAACAGAACTTGGCAATACTTTGAGCATTTGTCTAATCCAGACAGGATCTGTCAGTTACAAATGAAGCATTATTGAATTTTCCAGCATTAACTGTAAGTAGACTTGAAGAGGCTTGATAAAGAGTTTGAGTTCAAGTTCTTGCAAGAGAGCACTTCTGATGATCAGAATAGTTTCTAAAAGCTTACATGACCGCATGGCTACTTGAGGTTAATGATAAGTTTAAAAAAAAAAGCCCAGATTTACAAAAGTGAAAATTGACTGTCATTCATCAAGCTTCATATAACATTTTGCATTACTATTTGTTAGGTTTATTGATCTTGACAGTATCTGTCACTGTTTTCTTAAAGCTTTAAGCAAATTCCCTAGGGGACCCAGTCATATGACGATGTCCACTCTAGGCATGTTTATTTGTGCACTTTCTTTGATAGATTATAAATAAAATTGTCGTACTGACAAACTGACAGATCTTAATTCCAATTCAAAGGAAGGATCTAATGCCATTGAAAGCCTTTCATGCGTTATTCATAATTTTGAAGAATATTCAGGGATAAAAAATGACTGTGCTTCATTTTAACTACACTTACCATGTCATTTAATAATCTAGCTGATCACTTTTAGAAATCCCAAAAATCTTTTTTTAATTGAAATATCACTTTTCAAAATATATATGTAAAACTGCATAATTATATATCAGAAGAAATACAAATAAGCGCAAAATCAAAATCATTTTAACTTAAAATTGGTAAGCAATTTTCAGAAAACAATCATGAACTTATTTATAGGAGGACAATATTCTAACCTGACATACTATTTGTTATATACAAAACAAAAGCAATTTTCATCAGAGAACTAACCCTCCTGGATATATACAAGCTATCCAGAATCAATTCAATGAACTGGCAAGCAAAGATGTTCAGGAAAGATTACCGTCAATTAACATGATGCCATTACAGCCAAAAAATCAATGAAAATTAATGGATACATCACAAAATCCAAAATAGATTAGCATAAATCCATCTTCAAAGGCAAGAATTTGCAAAAAGTCGCAAATATGATATACAAAGTAGAGGGCAGTTTGAAATATAATTCACAAATGAAGGGTTATCAGTATTTTTTTTTTTCCGTTCAAGTGTCATGTTAAAACATTGAATGTTGCAAGCCAAGTGCGCTTTTCCTCCTAAAGTATATTCTTTTTATGTGCTGTTCCTGGGAAATTCACACCTTAAAAATGGCTTTCCAAACACTTTTCTCTGCAGAACAACAATAAACCCTACCAGGGGAAAATGTCGATATGAGAACAGTGACCAAGGAATGCCAATCAATAGGCTACATCTGGTGGCACTTATCTCCTATGATTTACAACCGCAGTTCTTTATATTTAATGATTGACTTCTTTTCTCTGAGAAAACATTTTAACAGATACTAGTAAGTTAGTGTTAAAATGCTACTGAGCAAAAATGTTAAGGGTATTTTTTAAAGAAAATTTTTTTAATGAGCAAATAAAATTTTGGGCAAGATTCATCTTCTTATATATGAAATCAATTTTAAGTGGCACTATCACTAGATATAATAACCACTCCACAGCAAAGCTTGTCAGAGGGGAAATGGAAAATGGGGATAAATCTGAGTTTGAGTATCTGTGGCAACCTTATAATCAACAAATGCACACAAAAGGTAGAGCACATATAAAAAATTGTCAAAACTCAAACTCCAAAGTTATCGAGTTCAGAAACTGTTTCCAGAGATACCTGTTGTGACCATGTCGGGCTTGTTTAGGCTGACCATTCACTTACTTATCCAAGCACCTCACGGGAGGCTTGACCCATCTCACCCCTCTCCAAGTAATTCCTGCATAATTTGAGATCTGTGGACTGACAGAGATTTTGACCGCATTCACGAGTTGAGCCAGGCTTTACAAATCCTGGGGACTAAATATGGTGGACGTACATGAAAGAAAAACCACCTAATCTTTTAATAGTCTCTCCGCCTCTCACACGCCTCTCCATGCGTCGTCCCTGCAAGGGTACAGTCATTAAATTTCGGCTCCATTGGGACGACACATGGGGCGGCGTGTGAGAGGCGGAGTGACTATTAAAAGATTAGGCGGTTTTTCTTTCATGTACGTCCACCATATTTAGTCTCCAGGATTTGTAAAGCTTGGCTAAACTCGTTGTGAATGCGATCTTTGATGTACTTCTCACTGTTACCAGAGCCAAATACACAGGTGCTCAACCAAGGTCTTTACAAAGGTAAAATTTTATTGGAATTGATCAGACAAGTTTAGTCCAATGATGGGCAACCCATTTCCAGTAAAAGTCACCTTAATGGAGTTTAAAAAGTTAGATGTTTACCAAATGTCAAAGATACTCCATTTTGGTTATAAAAGGCAAAACATATGTAGAGCTGTAAAAAAGCTGGCACTTAATAATTGTTTTAACCAGGTTTTAACAGATAAAAAGTTTGTTATGGGTAAAAAAAATCAGCCATTTATCTGTAAATCATATAAATTCTCACAATAGAGTGAGTCCATAATATTTCACAATGGCCAGCATGTCTATCTTAATAGTACATATTGATCACTGTGAGAATAAAACTATAAATAGCCACTGATTTATGTCTCAATATAGGGACTCCACCTAAGATATGGCCCATATATGTTCAAAGTTATTCTATGTTATCTTTATGTTGGAGCAGTGACATTGGCAATGACTGATAAAAGGGCCTTAGAGACCTGTGCAGGACTATAATTAATTGAACAGGATTAGAAAACAGTAAGAAGACGCAGTAAATCTGAACAATATTTTACTGACATACACAGGTTGAGCATAAATCATTTATAATGGCATTATTCCCTGATAATAAAAATATGTTACATCTTTTTTTAAATATAAATTTCAGCAAGTAATATCTAACAGAGGCTTTTTCAAGATCAAATTCTGACAAGTGTGGTAATGAAGATGTCACAGTCTACATTTGGCTAGGCTAACCTTGAGCCTTAAAATTTCCTTGATGAATTTTTATATAAAATGTTCCAAAGAAATAATTCAACAATCATTCCTACAAGTGCTAATTCTTAGGTGTTGATTCATCAATTTTCCAAGTAACAGGCTCATAGCATAGTCTATAGCATATTATCTCTGGTCTTAATCAATGTGATGAAATTAACCAAACTTGAAGTTGAGCTGTACATTCAATCAATCTTTCAAAGGACTCTGTCATGGTGACTGTGCAATAATTACAAGCTATCCCGGAAACCTCCAAATGAAGCATACTGAGCTATACGTCCTATGAGGCTAGTACGTTCACATAATGAATGACGGAATCATCAAGATTGGCTGATTCATCAACAGGCATGAATTTGAGAATCAGCGAAGTGAAATCTGGGGGAGATATCATGGCAACACCTGAAACTTCAATTGATCCAACACAGATTCTGATATATTTGCTTCTCTAAAACTCTCCTGTCTATTGATTTTGTATTCCAGCATCTGGTGTAATGGGAAAAAGAAAGGTTGTATTGAACTGAACCTTCTGGAGAGAGGGATACATTTAGCTTGATAGCAAATTCACTACCATTGATTAAGGCAACAAACAGAGCCATCTTTCATCATTGTCCATACTTGAGATTCTCTTATGAAAAGGCTGTGCACATATTATAAACACAGCTAAAGGGTTTGGGTGGGATTTGGCACTGAAACAATGTACTTTTTACCATAAACCAAAACAACAGCCACAGACACACGACTGGACAGTTATATCTATGCATAATTTAAACTGATTATAACCATCTACAACTGGTGAAGTGCTGGTTAATGTATATCAAATAGTTAGAAGAGTATAATCTTTGCTTCATCCTGAGTTTCAAGTATGAAAGATTAATATTATTATCATTATCAATAATAATATCATATATGCTGTATCATAAGTGTGTAGCATATTTGCCAAGTTGACCCCATTACTTTGAATTTCTCAGATGATCACTTTTAATCCAGTAAATAGAACAAAAAATAAATTTTATATATTCATAATGTGTTAAGGCAAATGACTGATTATCCTACAAGTAAGCCAATCTCAGAACAGCCAGTTTTTGTCTCAAATAAAAAATATGACATAAACATCTTAAAATTGACTTAAATTCATTGATGAAGTATAAAATATTTGACAATATTGTAAAATTTTCTCCTTTTCTTATCTATAGCATTCAAACACACACAACTAACTTCCCAATGAAGAAGGTCAGATGGGAACCTGCACTACTACTTTATTAATGAACTGCTTCAATTAGGTGGGTAATTATGACATATACAAATGGATAAGAATTCGCCTGATCACACCTGCTGTTAGCTGAGATGATTGCACCAGTTCAAAGACTGTCACAACACAAAGCCCACACATTCAGGGCATGAAACCCATAGGTTTCTGCAACACAGACCATTTTCAAGATATTTTGTCAACAACAAGTGAGGCTCACTCTTAAATTCTGTCCCAGCCAAGTAGCTGAAAATTTACCCAGATAAACATATTGAATAAAACACACTTATGCACACACACACATGTGAGCCAGAGAACATGATGAGCAAATGTCGACAAACACATATTCATGATGGTAAATTGTTTAGATACAACAATGGCACGCATGGAAAATGTTCAGGATAGCTCCAACAGTCGACCTAAAAATACTTCATTCATCATCTTTAAACATAGTTGACATCTATATGAATGAAAGAACACACATTAAATGCTCAGTCTGTTGCATCTTTTATCCCCTAAAAAACAGGCACGTTGATCAATTTAATAGCATTACTTTTACTATAATGCAATTATAGGTGCCAACAATAATGTGCAATTTGATTAATCTAATGCTACGGTGATATTCCCTTCTCAAAACCAACCTGTTCAAAGAATTCTTCCATAAAACCACCTCCTCCATCCAAAGTAACTGTAACATCATCTTGGCTTTCATCTTCATCACTCTGGGCCTAAGGGGAAAAAATCAAAAATAAATATGCTACATGAATATAAAATGGCTTAAACATGACAATTACGAATCAAAGGCTGTGACAGCAACAAATGCCTTGACAGCCCAGATAGCTCAAATTGTTTTGTTAATTTGGCTATCTAGTATCATAAATGAGTGCTTCTGTATTTCCAAAGAAAACAGTATTCTTTAGAATTCTAATGCATATACATACAAACTTTACTGAAAGTAATGACTTTGACAGTTTTGGACAGCTTTGTTTACAGGACCAGGTGTGAGGGGAGAAGTAAGGTAGTCCAAGAAGAGACACAAACAAAAGAGAAGCAAAAAAAAAAAAAAAAAAAAAAATTGGCTTCTGTATGTTGCAGTACTTATGTAGTGAGGATACCTTATTGCAAAAATAAATGTATCATTTCAGAAAAAATAGGGACTTGCTGCAATGCCTAGTTTTGAACTTGTTCTGCTTTTAAGCCATATTTGCAATTTCTACATGTTTCAAAGAAAATGATAAGTTAAATTTCAACTTACTGGTATATCAAGAAGTATGTATACCTTCTGCTCAGACTCTGATATTACTAAAACTTACAAATATTAAGATCCAATTATCTAAATTAACAATTATGTTGGTGGCCATAGAATACCAGTATAATTCTGTAACTCCATGAAACCACATGATGTGTGCATACTTCAACCATTAAATTTGTATTGTGATGCCTCATGTCATTTTTATTTTTATTTTTATCATTGTTCTCTTCCTCTACTTTTCTCTCTAATAAACTGATACCAGAAATGAGTCAACCTCAAAACAATCACACAACTCTGCCATTTTATATGCCACCTCAATTTCTAAGAAAGGGCCAACCCAAATGTAGTGCTTTCTATATCAAATATTTCACAATCAAAGTACACATGCAGAAATGCCCCAGAGTCACGTATACAGGATAAACATGATGCTAACACGACACAATCTTAACAACTCAGGGGAAAAAATCTACTCTGGTTTAAATCTGGTTGGCTACTATCACTTGACAGGAATGTTGATTTGGTGAAGAACCATACCTGACATCAGGCACTAAAGGGATGTTGTTTTGTACACAAGAGATTATCGAGGGAGAAAAAGTTTGGTGTATATGTATAAAGACATAATTGTAATATAGGCAGGTAATATTACATTTATTCATTATATGTACATTGCTCATATTATATTGATCAGAGAAAACTGAAATTCAATCAGTCGCTATCAATTTTAGAATAACCTACCTTGTAACATTACAATACTATATGTAAAATGATGAAAAATAAATATATATATTTATATATTTACAAAAAAAAAAAATGAATTTCAGAGACTTGATACACAACTGTACAAGCATAAGGAGGTAATAAAACTGAGCAGGCAATAAGACAATAAAATCACAAGCTTTCATTAAAAACCTCACAATTTTTCCAGTATATCTGTGCTGACATCAATTTATGGCCAATGGTCTGTCACAACTATGACTGAAAAAGAAAGCACTAACTACATCCTAGTTCAAGATAAAAAACTCTACAATGGTGGTCCATCCAACAACAGACAGATTCTCTCCTGAATGTACTTCCTGAATTTAATATGTCAGATAGAGAGTATGAAAGTTTCTGAACAAACTAAAACAAGCCCATATCTGAAAAGAAACTTGCATTATTTTGCCATACTAAAAAAAAACTATTTCCATTTTTAAAAAGTGTGAAAATTACAAGTGAAAAGAATGATGTGAGATAAAAGAGAAAAATAGAAATGTTTTAAATATAAGTAAATATCTATATTTTGGTATTATGCTTACCAAAAGAGATGAATTTTCTTAAAAGAATCTTATTTGCAAATTTTCAAAGGAAAAATTGATAGATCTTTCACAGTGCAGCCCAACTTCTCAATTTCACTTTTAAATGAATTTCATTTAAAAAAAGCCCTTGCAATTTTTCTCCTTCATAAATATATAGTTTTTTTGTGTGTGAAAACCAGTCGCCCTAAAACGGGTACACCATTGCGAATATTTGTTCACAGTGTATTACTACTGAGCGAGATATGCCTCTGTATCAGCTGGATGGCTCAGACACAGCGCAGTTGACATACTTCTTCTATGTCAACAAATGTAAAGTCTACGACTCTGACTACGACGGGGTGCAACTTGCACAAGGATTTAACAAGAGCCTATATCGTAACTATGTATTATGTATCAAATTTAGAGCCAAAACATATTTTCACATCAGATTCATTTAAGTCCAAAAAGTAAATAAATATAACTAAATACGGTGTGGCCATTTTGATTCTGAAGCAAACACTCCAGTGCATAGTGCCGAGCACTTGAAATAAAATGAATCATACGAGATACCCACCGCTTTCAGGGCGGCCAACCTATCCCTCGTCATCTTCCGAACGCTGTGACCTTAACTGTTCCTGGATAATTCACAGATAAACTATTTCATTTAAACTCTGCATAGAACAAATGTAAGATAAGGGCAAAAATACAGAAAAATCAATAAAATTGTAATATTTCCAAGCTGAAGATGTCCATAAGCACGCATGCGTGAGGCGTATCTCCAGCTTCCGGGGTTGAGTACTAATTTAGTCACCAAACCCAAAAGAGCTCTTACACAGGGTAATGGTAAAATGCGCAACGGGAAACACATTGGCAGCTACTTCAAACTGTAAAACAACTTCCAAAAATTACCTTCTCAAAAAGCAAATACAGATAATCACTTACACTTACTATATATGTGTATTCTCTTTCTGTCTGCATGATGCAATCTGAATCTGAAATAAAACATGTTTCAAAGAAACATCTTTTAAATATCTTTTAAATTTAAAATACGGCTAAAAACGGGAAATAAGACAAAACCTACAGTCGAATGAACGAATGAATTCGAGTTGGCATTGGCCTTTGAGTGTTGAGGATCCTACCGTAAACCTGTCATGATCTGTTCCAATTAGTATTTTAACTTATATGTTAAAACGAAGTCAAAACATGCTTTTTCTATGGCTTTTTTTCCATCAAAAGAATCTTACTTTTTCCTCAAGTGTTATTTTGAAATATCTTATAATGGGTCACGTTTGAGCCTTAAGATATGCATTAAATATAAAAAATGGTGCATTTTGCAGTTTCACAAGTGGTTCCTTTTACTAAATCGGGCCAGGTTTTTATTTGTGCGTTCTGGGTGACCATATACACGGTAAATGTAGATTCTGGACTAAACTTCCCGAGCCAACCCGCGAGTTTCATGAAAAAGTTTAAAAAATATTTACTAGTATTGTAATATTGTATTTTATATGTTGTGAAAAATGCTGCATTATAATAAACTGAGGAACAACCTGGTTGTACATCTAGTATACAGCATGAATACATGATTTGACTTTTTCTGCTGATGATTTCGGCGCAAATGATATTGGTATGATACTCCTCTTCTCAAATTCTCCTCCAATCCGTTGACAGACAGTCTAATGTCTGAGACGATGTTTTAGTCAAAGAATCCGATCAATTTTGTAAAACAGTAAAAGTATTTAAGGAATTCTTTACTACTGCTTTACTAAAATATATATATATATATAATGTTTAATAGTTTGAAATTGGATCAACTTTTTCGGTTATTGGCTACGCTATCTACGCGCGGAGGCTCATATAGGCTAACGGCATTCTAGAAGGGAAAAATTTTGTTAGGAAAGAAAATTAACTTAAAACACGTAGGCCTATTTATGAATAAATGAATAAAAGGGAAAAGTTGACTTTTTGTTCTGGAGTAAATAAGTATCGACATCGTGATCAAATTTTGTGTAAGGCAGTATCTTGATCGACAGGGCTACGTGCAACCAGGGGGGTCTTTTTCTGAAAAAGTGGACCTTTTACCATGAAACTTTCTTGTACTTGATTAATTTTTACCCAGAGTGGACGTTTTTCGGGCAAAAAGGGTGGTTCGTACGCCCCCCAGCCCTATTTCGGCTATTTAGCGACCTATTTGTCACCGTTTTAAATTTAAAGGACATGCATTATGGGGTTCAAATATTTCAATTAAAAAAAAAAAATGAAATTGTGCATGATTTACACAATTGATATGTCAGAAATATAAGATAGCTCATCAGAATTACAAACATGGTTTTCTTTTTTAGTAAATGGAAAATACAAAGACCTACGATAAGCCTTCATATATGCCTAACCAAGGAGTTATAACAGAAGGAGATTACACGCGTGGGGGCGGAGCCCGTATTACGGTCTCTCATTGGTCGGAATGAATAGAACCCAGAGAACAATGGATGCCTGTCTCTGTTACGCTTAATTGCTACTCTCGTTTAAATCTCGTTTGTTAGTATCTGTGCCTTCGTCTGTTGATTTTTGAGGACAGAAACAGAAACGGAGTTCCAAGTTTCTAAAAAATGAGAGAAATACAGAATTTATATGATATTACGTTGGACAAGGTTTTCAAAAAACAGGTAAGTGCTTTTAAATGCATAACTACACGAAATATGAAGATAAATTGCAACTTTTATGTCGTANTAAAAAAAAAAAAAAAAAAAAATGAAATTGTGCATGATTTACACAATTGATATGTCAGAAATATAAGATAGCTTATCAGAATTACAAACATGGTTTTCTTTTTTAGTAAATGGAAAATACAAAGACCTACGATAAGCCTTCATATATGCCTAACGAAGACACGTAGAAAAAGATCTGAAGGACGATGAAAATCCGTTTATAGACCCCCATTTCCCGCCTCGGCACTTGATTTTATGAATGGGTGTAATATGGACAGTTATTTAAGTGAGTCTTATAACCAGTGATAAACCCAAAATGCGGTCTAGGAGAGGAAAGATCGAATGAAGCCTCCACGCCCCCCCCCCCAAGTTCAGTAAATTGCAACCTAATTTACTACGATTTTAGAGAAAAATACAAAATGCTGTTTTATAAGAGTGGCAGAGGTAATATCTAAAATGATATGTATTCCTAAAAATCCTTTCTTTTTCTTTTTTTTAACATTCTCGTCTGTAAAAACGGTCCCAATGCCTGTGACTTCACGTAATTGGAAGATCAGGCGCGAAGCTGGTTTGAACTGGATGCTGGGATTCCACTTCCTCTTTCTGCACAACGCCATTTTAACGCAATAGAGGTGAGTACCGTCGAAAATCTATCGACATCACAGTAAGTAACGTTCGTAATAGTGCAAGTCACAGCAAATCTATAGTTCTTAAGATAAAGTTTTGTCTTGTGTTGATTCTGTGATGGATAAGGATCCCATAGCCGCGAAAGAAGGTTTTCCTTCAATATCGAGCCCATGCCGGTATGTTTCATGGGATTTCCCGCCGTTTGGCCGTGATTCTTGATGAAAGCTTTGTTGCTGTTTGGCATGTTACTGTTTTAAAAATTGTGTCGTGTGCAATATCTCCTAAAACAAACGTCACTGTTACCCTTTCTTGTTTAAGGAAACGTTGACTATATATGTCTTTGTTTTGATCTACCCTAATGGATCAGAGTTTCGTTTTAGTCGGATTAGTACTTTAGCACTCCTCTTTACTTTTTATATCACTAGTTAGTGGTGAACAGCGCTAAAGCACGAATGAAGTCCACTACTGATAATACTTAGTCAGTGGTTGGTAGGAGTCTTATTTGCAGTTACCCTGAAATTTTTATTGACAGGTTTTGTATTTTGTAAATGGCGGAACATGTTTCATTATTCTCGGTTGATGTAACCTTATTTATATGTGATACATAATTTTTATGAAAAATGTATTTGTCTAGTCGCTCCTTAAAAACTAAAAATTGTAAGCCTAGCATATATTTACCAGGATTTATATCCATTTAGAGGAGAAAGGAAAAAGATTATATCTTAACATAATTTCCAGAAACTAAAGAATTCAATGAAAAAAAGTTCTGAGCATGGCAGATGTTTTATTGTTCTCCATCAAGTGGTTACATAGATTTTTACATGGGTACATAGCCCATTGTCCGTTGAACCCGTTGGTGTTGGTTGGAACCAGTCGTGGCCTGTTCTTTCTCAATTTTCAAAAAGACTTGGCAAGCTTTGTTAATCAGGCATAGAGTTAGATTTGGTGAGCTTTGATAATCAAGCATATAATCCATCCATGTTCCCAGAAATATCTTTGAATTATTGCAGTTTTTAAAAGTGGTAAAATAATATATTGCTTGGAAATGGACAGCAATGTCTGGTTGGAAAAAATAATCTGTTTGGATAAAATGCTTACAGTGATTGATATTTGTTGAGATAAATGTCATAAGTATTATGGGCAATGATTTAAATATTATCTCTTTGAGAATGATAAAACATTCTTCTTAATTTGATAGGTGCATCAGAAACATGGCTACACAACAACAGGGCACAGATGAACCAACCTTCAAACTGGTTTTGGTGGGTGATGGAGGTGTAGGTAAAACCACATTTGTAAAAAGGCATCTGACAGGAGAATTTGAAAAGAAATATGTAGGTAAGTCAAAGTGAGATTAAGCTTGTGTAGAAAACCTGTTTTGCAGGTACTTGGCAGTTGCAAAAGGAACTGGTTGGTGTATTGTAACAAGCTCATGCCCATTACAGATTTGCATAGAATTGAATAAGAATTGAAAATAAAATTACAGGGAGAATGTGTCAAAAGCCTGGGATGTATGCACTGTATGATGCTGTCTTGGGCTTGATTTTGGCAAACTGATGAGTGAGGAGTTTAGATAGATGCTTGTCAAACACCTGTTTAATATGATTTATGCATGATTTTCCATAATTTGATTTGATTCCATTTTCTGTATTACAGCCACTTTAGGTGTAGAAGTCCATCCTTTATTATTTCATACAAACAGAGGACCCATCAAATTCAATGTTTGGGACACAGCTGGTCAGGAGAAATTTGGAGGATTAAGAGATGGATATTATATTCAAGGTAAAATCTGTTGATAATCTTCATGAATGATGACTGAATCTTTGATTTTTTTTTATATTGGTGTAATTGAGCATACATTAGAATGTGAAGAATAATTACAATTATACCAAAATTGCCCTAATTTTAACTCTGATCCTGGTATCTGCTTTTCATCATTGGCATTACTATATAAATTTTTGATTTCTTTTTAGGTCAGTGCGCAATCATCATGTTTGACGTAACAGCTCGTGTAACATACAAAAATGTCCCCAACTGGCATCGAGATCTTGTCAGGGTTTGTGAAAACATCCCAATGGTACTCTGTGGTAACAAAGTAGACATCAAAGACAGAAAAGTTAAAGCAAAAGCAATTGTTTTTCACAGAAAGAAGAATATCCAGGTGAGAAATGTTGATGTGAAAAAAAAATATAGAGAAGGTTATAACTTGTGAAAGACCGATTCATAAATTACATACTTAATCACTTAATCATCTTGAAATGTAGATTTGCCAAACGTAAATTGACAAGTTGTTGCTATGAAAATCCTGTTCAATTTTCAGTAATCCCTCCCCCTTGAAGCAGCATCAATCCCATCATCTAGGGGTTATTAGTTGTATTTACTGATTGTTCCAGATTTTTTGTAAGCAGAACAAAGTTTTCCTATTTCCAATAGCTTTCTGTTGTCTTTTCAGTACTATGATATCAGTGCAAAAAGCAACTACAACTTTGAAAAGCCTTTCCTGTACCTAGCTAGAAAGCTTGTGGGAGATCCCAACTTAGAGTTTGTTGCCATGCCAGCTTTACAACCTCCAGAGGTAACAATGGATCCATCAATTGCCAAACAATATGAGAGGGAACTAGAGGTATGAGATCTTTTTTAGAGGATAAAAGTATTGATATACTTGTCTGAATTAGTAAAAAAAAAAATATTGTAAGGGAAAAGAGTGGAGGTAAATGAATAAGTATTTTATGACTGTGGAGGATTTTTATGTAAAAGGATAGCTGAGGCTATTTGCTTGTAAGTTGTAAATATACTACTTGGCAAGTTTTAGTGTAGACTAAAATGATGTAACTAGCCAAGTCTGTAGTTCTTATTATTTGGTCTGGTACCTTTGGAGATCCGGACTACAAGGATGTTTATTAAAACATTTTGAATAAACAAAAAATTTACAGTAAAATTTTGCATTTCTTTTTCAGATGGCTCAAGCAACTGCTCTCCCTGAAGATGATGAGGATATATAAACCATAGCTGATAGTTGCTGAGTGCTTGTGTTAGTGTGGAGTGAAGACCAGGATTGGCCACTGAATGCATAGTGATCATTAACATCATTTTTATTGGACGGTCTGTTGTATAGAAGTGCTGTTATTGACTGCTACCTATTGTGAAACCTTCAGATATTGACTGAGGCAGCAGTTGATCTTTGCATTGCAGGGGTCAGTCGATGGTGTCGAGGCCTGGAGCTCCCCAGCCATTCTCATCAGTTTGCTATATTATCTTCTATTGTTTCATCAGTGATCTGTCTCTTTGAGCACTGATCAAAACACATCTTCATTCTTTATAAACTGGAGAGCTTTATATCAGAACAATAAATTTGTAACTGCTTTAATGTCTGTGACATTAGACCTGCTACTAAGAACTATCATGTCTATGAAGTGTGGGGTGATAGCAAGTGCATTGCTGTCAATAAAGAATTCATTCAAAATGTTTATTTACCTCAAGTTTGTACATAAAAGTATGAGAGTTTGCACTTAATGCAAAAGTGTATATGACGTTTTAAAAGCAGCAGTTGATTAAATGGGAATTATCAGTCTTAAACATATTTCTAAGGTAATATATTCAAGTTCTATAAAAACCAAATGTGTGGGAAAAGAATATTTAGTCTGTGCATAAATGCTACTAGTATAGGTGCATTCCTGAAGTTGGTCTGAATTACATGTTGCTACAGAAGTTGGTAGGTTTTACTGAAAAGGTGAAAGTTGGACGTTTAACAACAGATAAATGTCGGTTGTGTAAATGCGTAAACAGTACATGTTATTTATCTTCACGTTATGCTCAAAATTGGGAGGGATTTTTGATCTACCCTGATGTTGGGTTGTTTGGCAAACACTGCTTCTAAAAATTTATCTGAGCAGCTACACTTCAGAATTTGTTAATAAAATTGAAATTGAAAGTGTGTCAGATGCTTCTGTAGCTTTATTTGTTTTGGTCTTTGTATGTTGGAATACATTTTCAAAAATGTACTTTGAACACCTTGTTTAAGGATAGTAAACACTTGATTTTCTTTGAAAATGACAACTAGTTTTGGTCTTTACACCAAATGGACACCAGTCCATTCCCCTAACTTGATTCAAACAAGCTTGAGGATTTTGTGAAACATTTCTGACAAAAGCACGACCTGCAAAAGCTGAACCAGGGGTATGATGACAGAACGATAGCAAATGTACAGACACCAAACTGCAAAAACAATGCAACAGTACTTACAAATAATTTGAAAAAATAATATGATCCAACAAAGCCATTCAGCAAATTTGAAGTAATACAAAAATAGTATGTATATGTTATAGGGCATGCAATGCAAACACATGAACAAAATTTTTTAAAATAATAGTGATAGTAAAATCAAGGATATCTGTAGTTACAAAATAAGACGTAATGCCCCTGTGAGATTTAATGTGATCAAGCTGAACACACTTTTTTGCCAGGGACACCATATCTGTGGGTGCTTCCCAGAGATTTAGATCGATCTAAAGATTAAGTTTTAGATCGACCTAACTCCCTGGGGGTTCACGCTAAATTGCAGTCAGCCGAGCGGGCACCATAGTTAATTACCCCCTTACAGCTTTTAGTAGGCGGGACAGACGCTTAAGCCGGCCAAGCTGACAGTAATCTAGTGAGACTCCCCACAGGGATAGATCGATCTAAAAATCTATGGAAGTGGGGTGTATTTCTCCATGGAGCCATGGTGTTGTGAAGCTGGTATCCATCTATGTCCAATAATATATTAACATCTGTGAAGATTAGGGCAAGCATGGATCCCTACTTTCTCTAGGTGCCCAGCTGTGTGATAACACCACAATCATCACCTCTACTGCTGTGCCAGTTTCATAAGGGCAATTATTTACACAAGAGCGGATGGCTTGATCATCCAAAATCTTTCAAGGGCCTTTCATCCAATTTCGTAAACCGCGAAAGAAGACTGAGGAGACCCTTGGTGGCAGGTGGGCTGAACTGAACCACTTAGATTGTTACACATTTTCCACCTTGTTACATAAGAGAGAACAAACAAAGAAAGCACAAATCCAATCAGAAAATTTGAAATACATGCAGTGAAGCACAACAGTTTTTTCTTATCTATTGGTCTTTATTCAAATATGGAATATCCAGCTTGCGCTCTCACAAATATTTTGAAATTATTACAAGTCCTTATTACTATATTTATCTATAGTCCATAATACTGCTCCATGTAGCAACTAAGAGCCTGTATCTACTGAAATAATGGCAAGGGAAAATGAAACATTTCTCTTTGCACGATTCAATTTGATGATAATACACATCTTAAATTGTGTAAAAACAAAGAATCAATTTCTACACTGAAATAATTACTAAATCCAGTGTCTTATAAAGTGAGAAACTTTTGTAACCTTTTCAAGGAATCTTCTACTACATAGTTTCCTTTGAATGCATTTGACTTGGTCAATAAATAGTTCCGTACACAGGTGTAGCAAAGACAGGCACTCTGTTCATTCATTTCTTGGAGGTCTGTATTGTTTAAAACAATTTCACCACACCAGATGGCATCAAGTTCGACTCACTTCTGGGTTGCATGGTCAGGGTTACAAGCCTGCCTTACACTCATTTCCTGCAAAAAAGTAATATACATGCTTTGATTTGGTAACATCCACTGGTGTGGACAGTGAACGCACGTGAAAACTTACATTTATCCCTAAATAACATGTAATCCAAAAACTCACATAGCATGTAAATAGCACAAAGTTATTTTCCTGTAATCTAACAAGAAATACACAAGATTAAAAATCTCTCAACAACTAAAATATTTTTTGTGTGAGTTGTATGCTTACCCACGTATCAAGCAGAGCTGTAATGGAGTATCTATTGGGCATTTTTGTCAAGCTTATATCCAAAGATTTCTGAACATTTTGAAGAAAAGGTGTAGACTCTGAAAATGCCAAAACAATTTAGTTTTTTCAAAAAAAAAAAAATAAAATAAATAAATAAATAAATAAAAATAAATAAATAATAATAATGATAATAAATAAATAAATAAATAAATAAACAAATAAATAAATAAATAAATAAATAAAACTTACAATCTGCAATATAAATCAATTGGTAACTGTATAAGAGAATCCATTTCAATTTCATATATTTTTGTGTAAGAGAGCATTTTTTTTGCACTGTGTTAATTTATCTACAACAAATCTTTTTATTATCTTCTGAAGTCATTTTTGCCACTTCACTCTGTTCAAATTTTATATTCAACAAACAACAATTTAGGTTGCCCAAATTTAAGATTTTACTTAAAGATTCGTTCCATTTACAGAAAGAACCACTCATGGTTGCAGCCCCTAAATCTACCGTACCATAGTCTCCCAGCGCAGTGTCACACTCTGGGCTGGTTTCTGGGTAGCCTGCTGGAACTGTGATACTGAGAGGGGGAACACTGGGGAGATTCTTGTCATCTGGTAGAATAGAGTGAAAGCATTCTATGTGTAATCTGAGATCAATTCTCTAGAGTGAAATTATTATCATTCAATCATTTTGAAGATGAGACAATACACGCCAAACCCTCCCCCTCCTCCTTAAAAAGCTATCAACATCATCAGCAATTTCAAAGCAGGAAGAAACTTTTATTAAAATATTATATGTCCATATCTGATGTTGTCTGTAGCACTTCAAAAATTGAAGCAATTTCAGAATGTGAACAAACTTCATGTAATAAATGAACAATGTCATTGAACACTCCAAGATCAAACCACCTGTTTCACAAGAAAAATATTGAATACTACTGCACTCACCTAGCTTGCAAATGAAATGCAATGTTTTTTCTCCATTCCTGGTCATAGGATCAAAGTCCACTTTAAATCTTCTGGCCAACCTGGCAATTTCACCTTGAATCACATTTGGAACTTCACCTTCTTTATCTTCTTCTGGTTTGAACCTCTTGGGTGGAGGACTGGGCCCTCTGAATATAAATATCAAGACCAGTTTATCTGTATCTCCCAATCCAAACCCTGATTATTCCTGCAATGACTGATGCTTATCTATAACACTGCACTGCTAAAATGCTGATTGTGGATCCCCAAAGCACAATTTTAAATCAAACAGCATTGGTGACAAAGACGATAAGTAAGCGAAAAGCATAACTGCTTAGATATAAGAAAATATTTGTAAAATTGCAATCCCTGTAAAATATTCAGTATAGAATTTCATCTAATGTACAAACCATTCCATTACCTTTACTTTAGGTAAAGACCATGTCAGATTCTATAGCTTCATTTCGTAAGACGACTTCACATCCACCCAAGCATTGGGGAAAAAGAACTCTGAGCTCAGAAAATGAATGAAAAAATTATCAGAGTGACCTTATAAAATGTATCTTCCACTGACTGCATAAGACCTTACTTACCTGATAGGTGGTCCGTGGAGAGCATCCAGGGCTGGACCAAATGTTCTCTCCAATGTATGGTTGAGAGTTGGAGACTTCACAAACTGTGCCACCGTGTCCAGCAGGGGCTGGCACATGTGCTGTTCTGACAATTTGAGGCCCTGAGAGCTAGAGGATACTGAGGTACTAGAGGAGGAACTCTGCAAATAAATGAATGTATTAATCAATTGAAATGTCAATGAAAAATTTGCAAAATGCACAAAATTCCTGGCTTATTGAAATTAATAACATTTTTTTAACTGTCTTTATTGCAGCTTTCACAATTTATCTCTGTTTCTTTCTCTGCATGTGTGTCTGTGCATGTGTGCAGCTATGTGATCAATAAAGATTAATTTACTCACTGGTTTTGAAAGTAATTCTAATTTTTCCAGGACCTGCTCACATTTGAGTAATGTCTGCATAGGCAGCCTGAAGAGATAAAAACTAATTATGAAAATGAAGCAATACACCACTACTTTCTACTCTATCAAAAGTCTCTTTCAAAAGCAGCCTAGCTGTCTTTGTTTCAGTTCAGTTTATGGTACTTGAATTCAAATCCAGTGTCAAATTATAATGAACATTTGTTAGTAACTGAAAAATTTACCTTCTGTTTGAATCTGATAAAATCTCCAATAAGCTCTTCATTTTACTTAAATCTTTCTTTCTGTCTGAAAACAAAGAAATTAACATATTGCATAAAATTAGCAGAAATGTATTCTAACAAATAAAATCATCATCTTAAATTTCTTATGTTTGTTTTAAAAACACCCATATGGTGATAAAGCAGTTTTACAAATTGAATAATCAATGCCATAAGTTTTATAACTAAAGTTGAAAATCATGATGTACATTTAATATTTACTTTAGCAAAAACTTGTCACTTTTTGATATAATCTATATTTCCCATTACCTTCGTCTTTGTCTATTTTGTTAATCATTCTTCTAAGTGGCTCAATGTACTTGCTGAGCTGTTTCAGCTTGTCTAAATAGGCCTGGTCTTCTGCTGAGCGCAAGGCAGGGCTGGGTGCAGGACCCACAGAGCCTGGGTTACCTGAAAGACATCCAGGGATAGAAACTTTATCACCAAGTGCTGGCACTGCAAAATCCTATTTGCACATGATTTTCAAGTAAAAACATAAATTTGTATGCAGTTAAAGGATGTATTTTATTGTAACCATGTAAGGAACTTGGATTGGTATTATTACCTCTGCCAAGGAGGTTATGTTTTCATCCCTGTTTGTCTGTCTTTCTGTCTGTCTGTCATCAACATAACTCAAAAAGTTATGGACCGATTTTGATGAAATTTTCAGGAACTGTCAGAAGTGGGCCAAGAAAAAGATGATTAGTTTTTGGTGGTGATCCGAATCAATAATCAATCAATAATCAATAATATTCAAAAATCGCTGCCTTGGCAGAGGCCTGTGCTCTCGGAGTGCTTTTCTAGTTCTAAATATTACTTTATCTAATTTGTATATGAAGGTTTATCTTTATCACAGTACTGATGATGTGCAAAGTGCGCCAATCACAGACATATTAAGATGTCATTACCAGGAGTGTTAACAGAGATGCCTCCAGGGGAAGGAGCTCCAAATGACACCCTAGAAGCTGGGGAAGGGGCCATGGCACTGCCTGGGCCTGGGGATGGACTGGCAAATGGGTTAGCTGGGGAGTGCACTGGTTGTATGCTGCATAATGAAGAAAATGAAACAAAACTTGTTAAGCATATATATATATATATATATATATATATATATATATATATATAGGTGAGACATTGTATACAAAAATGTGTTTTGCTATCTTAGAAATGGCTACGAAAGCATAATAAAACCAGTCTCAATTTGCAAAAAATAAAAAAAGTAAATAATAAGAATAATAAACTTATACTGACTATTTCTTAATTATACCAAAATCATTATAAATTTAAATGTTTGCATTGTCATAACATGATGTATCTGTTCCAATTCAGGGTTTATTTACACATATATGCTGACATACCTAGACACTGCAGGAGAAGGAACACTTGAAGATTGTTGTTGTTGAGATACCTGAAATACAAACACCATTAAAGAGTATTGACATATTATTCTGAATATGCTACTTATTATGTAATAAATAGCACAGGCATTCTGATTTTACACTGCGCAATAAATAAATGCCCCAAAGTTTACTTTATATATATATATATATATATATATATATATATATATATATATATATATATATATATATATATATACACATAAAACCCATAATGCTGATAAATTTTTTTAAAGTATTGCATGGGGCATTTAAATTATTGCTCAGTTTATAATCTTAATTTACAAAATTCCAGTTCCAATTCTGATCTGTTAACATGGCATTATCTTATAAAGATCACAGGTCAAAATAAAAGATGTAAACTACCCATTGCCACCTTTTACAGTCAAATGCATCTTAGGGGTGATTTTGTTCTTATGCAACTTAAGGACTGGTATTCTATCATTGGCAGCTTGCCCAGATTATAAACCCACCATTCAAGCAAAATACCTCACACCGTATTGAATGTACCATGCTTTCTGTTTTTCACATCCTCAAGCAATATATATAATAATTAACAAAAGGCAATATATAATGATTTAAACTCACAAGCCTCTCCATTAATTCTTTGTTCCCACCTAAATGATTTCATATAAAGAACTGCCAGAACCCTCACACATGCAGTATTTAACATATGCATGTGAATTTAATACATGCATATAATAACCATCACCCAAGTTGGGATATATTATATATGAGTATTTCAAGAATGTATTAATATTGATAACACACATTATATGTATGATCTATTCTGCCCAGTGTTATCAATATCTCATTTGGTTTTACATAACATCATATTTCCACTTGATAAGCCCATACCTCACCAATACTTCATCAAGCTTGGTACCTTGGTGTTTTATCTACCGTATGCAATTTTGACTATCAATCTTCAGCATATTTTTTCTTTGTCATAAAAAGAGGCTACTTTTACCGTATGTTAGTGAGATCTGATTTTGGCCGAAGCACAGCTAAAGACTCGATGTTTTCTCATCAATCACACAGCTTCCCCTGTATGTCACTCTTAAGTCCATTCTCGAGATATTAAACGACTCCATAATTGCTACATGAGAAAACAACCAAAGATATCATATAACTTATTACTAGAAACTACTTCACTTTTTTTTAGATTTTAAACATAATTCAGTGTAATATACATAAACCATCCCAGAAGCACCTCTCCAAGCCTTTAGCAAAACCAAAATCATGATGTCATCAGTCTCTGTGAATGCTCTTATATGTAACCCAGTAAACAACTTTCTTGTATCTTTGTATCTTTCTTGTAGCAGCCTAAGAAATGATGACATCATGTCATTGTCCATGCCTTTATATTTTAGAAGTTGGGAGAGTTAAAAATGAAACAATTTTTTGGGTCCATATATTTCCATCACCTTAAATGCAAAAAAAAAAATAAAAAAAAAAAATGTTTTGAAAAAAAAAAAAGAAAGAAAAGTGCAAGCTTACAGCCTGCACAGTACATAATTCACTTGTAACAAAATGAAATTGGACCAAAATATATTCTGAGATTCAATGTGTCTCAGACCTGTCCATAAGTATTTTGTACAGAGTAAGGTGACTGGACCTGAGACGACGGCCTGCTCAGTGGTGACAACACAGGAGGAGAAGTCATCTGAGAAATGAGGGAAATAGAAACAGAGAGATGATTGCAATGAATCTACATAAAAAATATCCTCCCTTCCTATCAAGGCTGCAATATATAACCTAGCTAACAGCAACAACTTTAATTACATCATTAAAATGAGAATAAACAAGAAATATTTTCTAACAAAAGAACTAATTTAAACATACAAATAACAATTATAAAGCAATGAAAGTCATGTTCCCTATAGCAAATGGTAACAAGCGACAATGCAGTGCCATACCTGTGGGGAACGCCCCACGTCCTGCTGCTGACTCATTCCTCGCACCATCATTTGCTGCATCATAGGAACCTGGCCACGGTTTGCCATAGGACCTACAGTAATGCTGGCATTTTAAAATACATATTCTCTCACATAATGATGCATAAAAAGGTATCACATTATGAACATCTAAGAACATCTCTCCTTAAAATAGGTTTCTATAGCGATGAACTATCTTTGTAATACAATCCTAATTCTTAAATACTAAGAAATGAATAAAGAGAAGTAGGCTCCAAGCGTATGACATTTTTACCTTGTGCCATCTGTTGAGGTCCCATGGATGTTCCCACTCCAGTCTTCGCCAAATTCTGTAGGGCATTGATAGGGTCTTGTATGGGGGCTTGTCCCCCTCCTCCCATGGGGTGCATGCCCCCTGTCATCATAGCCCCACCCGCTGCAGCCTGCTGAGCAGCTTTCTCTTTCTTGGAATCTGCAAATTCAGAAAAATAGGTTCCATGAAATCTCAGTGGAAAATCTCATCAACCTTCCCACAAGGTCGCTCATACATTTCTGCCTCATATATTTGTTGTTGCCTTGGTGCTATTTGCCATCAGGAGTGAAAATGACCAAGAGAAAAAGATGATTTGTCAGATGAATCTCGCCAGCACATTCACTTCAACAAACACTCTAAATGTCAGAGTTTATGGACAAAGAGTAGCAAGGGTTAATATAAATTACTGGCCTACTTCACTTCAACCAGACCACCTACTATAAAAATCAATGGCCTGTTCATAAATGCTAGTTTGATGCTGTACTAAATTCCTGTAAACTGGATGAAAGGCATAATATATCAAGATGATTATATCTGAAGTTCATCAGTTATGCCGCGTCTGATGAAAAGGCCACTTTAATAAAACTGCATATTAGCAGTATTTACACAGTCCTATGCCATTTCTGTAATACAAGTCCATTTATTAAGGAATCATACCTAATAATCACTTAGGTTAGGTGTCACCACCCAATATCTAGAGCATACATATATATATATATACTAACAGAATCAGTTTACTGCATCATGTTTCCAAAACTCTCCCATTTCACAAATATTTTAACCATGAGATCTTTATTATTCATAACACTAAAAATGACCTTATACATGATTGTCTACAAATAATTCCCTTGTTCCATCAAGAACAATCTAAGCTAAACAGATACAGAGTTATCGCAAAGGCCAAGAGCAAACACAGCATTCTACATTAATTTTTTCCTAAAGCTAATTTACTGAAATAGATATCTGTCTTCCTAAACTGTTGCCAGAAAAATCGGCAGGGCTCCAAATTTTTTCAGTCAAGGCAATTTTCATTTATGAAGAAAACATCTTACCCATTGGTAAAGAAGTCTACTGTGTAAATTTTACATTTAAGGAAACTTCCATGCATAGAAATTGAATAATTTAATTTTCTCAAGTACATCTTTAATATTTTGATTGAGTAATATTTGATAAAATCCATAAATATTTGTTTGACTGGATGAACACTTAGATAAAATAGTGTTTTAGTGTAATAAATTCAGACTAAAATCGATCAGTACCTAGTTATCTATATTCAAAAGGCATCTATCACACACAATAAAAAAAAATATAACAACTGGTTACTCTAGGTCTCAATGGATATGAAAATTGCAACATTTAAACAACCCTTCTCAAAATGAACAAAATTCTCAACCGATCAACAAACGTTTGCACACCTCTAACACAAGGGGTCAAGTAAGAAGAATTTCTGTTACAGTCTTCGTCTAAATTTTGATATCTGTGTAATCAGCTGAAATCACTGAAGATGACTTATATTATACTTACAGTAATAAGGGTAGAACATGACTTAGTAGCTCCCTGTCACACTAAGTAGCACTTCAGTATGACATTCCCTGTGCTAAACTAATTGAACTAATTAGATGTCCATGGTCAGCAGAAGAAATGGTTGCTCTATGCAGATGCTCCATCATATGTTTTCGATAATGAAACTGTATATGGAAGCCCAAGGCCTGACTTAATTCCCTTTGTTCTGGGCTGGTATGAACTTGAATGCCCTACTACAACCTTTTGATATGGTAAAAAAAAAGTCTACCTATGCCTACCAGCTGTCAGTCATAGAGGAATAGTTTCTGTGCTGGGTTGGATATGAAAAGCACAGATTACTTTAGCACTGCTACAGCTTGAGAGGACGACTTATTTTCCACAAAATTGATTTTTGCACAATCCTGCCAGAAATGAGAGACTACAAATTACTTGATAAATGGATGGTTAGCTGCATTAATGTGGATTTACTATTGCAGCTTTGTTGCTTTGCCTTCAGGAATATTCCTTATAAATTCACAAAGATTATAAATATCAAAAGGACAGATTATCCAAAAATTTGCAACTGCTCTTGCATAAATTTACAATTTCCATAACTACTAATTCTTCTTTCTCACAATTCATCAATAAAATAAAAAATTCCATAAATTTTCTATATAAAACTACATTTATTTGCAATGAAAAAAGCACACCATTTTAAGGCACACAATGCATGTTGGACCTTTATACTGGAAAAAAAGGGGAAAATTCAACAATTTTGTTAAGATACAAAATGTGTTTTTTTTTCATAACGTACCTGGATTGTTTCAAGGTATTGTGTTTTGACATGTAGTTTAGCAGTGCTATGTTTTTCTGTCTGATTGTGCCTAATTTTTTGTTAAACTGCTGTTTGAGAAATAAAACTCTTAAAAACAAATGTCATTGAATACATACTGGAAATTAGGAAAACAAAACTGTTGACAAAATTAAAACTTCAAGAAGGACTAGAAATAACATTTCTAAGAGGAAACTGATGATAGATGTACAAATAATAACTGTTTAAAAATCCAGGGTCACATTTCACATCTTGCCTAATTCCTTGTGCTATTGTTATTGGTATTAAGACCTAGAGTGGCTTGACTGATATGTAGCACTTTGAAATACAGACCTCAAATTAATTAATAACTCCAGACTCAAATTAAGTACCCCAAAATCATTTGCCACAAGCCCGGCAGGCCCGTAGCCAGCAATTTCAAAGGGGGGGTTCTTTTTCTGAAAAAGTGGACCTTTTATCATATAATCCCCATGTACCTAGGTCAAATTTTACCCAGAGTGGACCTTTTTCCAGCAAAAAGGGGGGTTCTTTCCAACCCCCCCTGCACCCCCCCTGGCTACGGGCCTGCCCAGCATTTGGTTACACTAACATTTTGGCCAGCCTCTATCCATGTCTCTAGCTGCAAACATAGCCCCCCTTATGGGTTCTTCTTATCAACCATACTGTGTATTAATACAGCAGCAGTGCGAACTCCACTATCTCCGGTTATGGAAAGTACTGAACTGGTAGATAAGTGGATAAACTCTTTGTGTTTTGAAACACTGGGCTTGTGGCAATTAAATTAATGTTGGGCTTCTTAATTTGTGGCTGGAGTCATCAATTTGGGCATTTGTGCCCACAAATATGAGGCTCAAGTTAGCAAATGCCTAATCTATTTATCAGGCCTGAAATAAAAAGGTTCTCAGTTAAATTTGTTTAAGTAAATTTAATTTGATGTGTTTTGAACAAAGAAACTAATGACATTTTTTCATTTGACTACAAAGATATTCAATTTTTTAAAAATAAGTATCCATTATTATATAAAGTAAGATGTAAAATGGAGATGCAACATTTGATAAATTAATACTTACTCATTTCACGTACATGGATGATTAATCTGGCAACCAGGGCCAAGTATTCATCCTAGAAAAATGGAAACAACATCAGAATATAAATAATAACATTACCTCAGCATTTAAAAAAAATCCACTTATCACCAAAATTGAAGCAAAATTTTCAACATCTGATGCATTTCTCTGCAAATTCTACAAATATCAACTTGTGCAAGACACGTCTATGAGAGGTAGAGTTCAAAAGGCAAAACATGACTTCATGATAGCAGGTGAACAAAACAATTGTGTTGTACTGTAACGCAACGGTATTCTTACATGATTTTTGAGATTCGATATCATACCCTTACAAAGTTGTTTATGTGTGTTCACACATGTTAAATTTAGACTGAAGGATAATCATCAACAATTCAATTCATATTAACAGTTAAGAAGATCTGCTCCAGCCATGTTGCTGTGCAGTGGTTTTCTTAAAAGTGAAAGAGAGGGTCCCAGTTACATTGACTCTGATGAAAGAGAATGACGTAGTTTCTATAATTAGCCCTATGTGGTTATCTTACTTCAAGGCTAAAATCACTGGTGAATGCATAAACAGTTCATACAGCCAAATAGGGAAATTCACATTCAAGGACTTTCAAGGACTTAAAATATTCTAATTCCTGACTTTTCAAAAACTAAAATGTAAATGAAGGCAGCTTACTTTCATTTACAAGTGTCTGCACTGAGACAACATCGAATGATGCAATGGCAACACTGGTTAGGAAGCCCTGATAATATTAGTAGTAAGAGGTGCGCACATTGTGTATGAATTGTGTGCATGCAGACCATTTTTGAAAACAGCAGAGCGTAAAACTGAACATGAAGAACGGACAAAAAACAAAGTTAAAATCGAGTTTTGACAAATATATACAATTTTTATTGGTGATGATTATTTAAGATAAACAATTTTAGACACCACTCTTATATCATCTCAACAACTATGATAGCACCCTCCCTCAGTTTTTAGGCTGCTTTAACTTTTGTGAAAAAAACTACAAGACTGAAAATTATTTTTGAGAAACTGCTCAGTGATTATATTCAAGTACTAGTACTTTTTAAGGATAAAAACCATAGAATATAAGCTCTTTTTAAAGTTTATTGTGATTTAGAGTACTTTTTAAGGCCAAAAATTGAATTCAAGATGCAGAGCCAAATTCAAGCACTTATCAAGCCTATATGAACCCTTATAAAGTGTTACAAGTTTAACTTTAGTTGTACTTTTTTTATCTATTCTATCTATCTATCTATATGTAAGGCAAAACAAAATGTGTTTGGTGTGCCAGGTTATTGAAATTTGATTGGCTCTATCAGATGAAATGTTTGATATTTAAGGTTGTTTAGGCAAACAAGGTGATCTTTACCAGGCACAAAACCCACAGAATAAGTGCAGCCCATTTAACCACTAAACCATCACCTTAAACTTCACATGTAATAGCAAAGAAACCCACAAATTTAATAACATCAGGTATGAAACCAGTCCTCATTGAAAAAATAGGAAATTTGGCCAGGGGTACACGATTCACAAGAATGACCCAAATGACCCTGAAAAAGTCGGAATTCTGCCAAAAGGCGGAAAAGTATCAGTGTAACATGGATTTACACCAGAATGTCAGAAATATGTTAATTCTCACTTTTTCCGAGCATGAGCCTCAGATTCCCTCGCGCAAACACCAGTATTAACGAGCCCCACCTCAGATTGACAAGCACAATGTAAAGTTACCGAGCACAAACTTAGCACTTCCAAGCATTATCAATTTGTCCAGCTTCTATCAGGGCCCCCGGCTGCTTACATACAGGTTCTATTTATCAACTCAGGACTATTTTCAAGACTGCGGAAGACACAAGAGACATGACGGTGGAACTTTCAGAGATATCTGGGCGCAAATGAGAAATATTATCTCCTCTTTCTGTCTCTTTGATGAAAGAGGAAGGATTTATGATATCCACGCCACGGCCAAATAAAATGGCAAGATCATAACTAACAGATTTTGAAGAGAATTGTCGTGATCATTCTAAGCATGGACTGTGTGAGCAGTGTGGTAAGATCAATATTTTAACTTGAGCAAAATAAATGTAGAATATATAAAAATTCTCAAAACAAACAAAACTACTGCATTAGTATATTCCACTATCCATACCCTGTATTAATACAGCAGCGATATGTTCTTGACAACCTTCAGCTCATACAGAACATACCGAACAGGTAGATAAGCAGATCAACGGCTAGTGCTTGAAAACGCCAAGTTAGTGCTCGTTAACTTAACGTTGTGCTTGTTAATCTGAATGGGGCTCATTAATATTGGCATTTGCGCTCGGGTATCTGAGGCTCGTGCTAAGAAATGCCTAATCTGTTCATGAGGCCTGCTACTTCTTTATTTAGGAGAGGGTTAAATAAACTGGTGGTTCAGGAGCCAGCATAAAAAAAAGATACTTAAGTTGGTCCAAATTTGTGCACAATTGTCTATTCTACTTACCCTGGTTTTTGCTTTCTGAAACACATGGTTCTCCATTTCATATGGAGACTTACTGGTTGGACTTCCTGCATGGCGGACAGCTTCATCACTAGATCAACAAAATAAACAACTGTGGTATCATTATCACACAGCAGTTATATTTGATTTAATTTTAACATTGTTTTAATTATCTGTATGATAAAAAATAATTTGGGGGTAAAATTTGTTTAACGACAGTTTTTCAACAAACATTATTTGCTGGTCTATTTGTGCTTAAAGTAGAAAACACTGGCACATTTATTTTTTTGTCTTTATTCAAATAATTTAATAACTTATACACTCTCTGCTCATTCTGCATCATCTGTTCATTTGTTTTATTCAAAGGCAGAAAAAAAGTTATAAGCAATGAATGGTATACTTATCTCTTGCCTGAAATAATGCATTTGAAGGTCAAGAATGATCTGAAATACCTTTTTTAATTTTATAGACCTGGTAGTCTCTTAAGAAATAATGATGTTCATTTTGGGACTCTAAGTCTGTTTAAATTCTGTCTAAATTCTTTGATTCTGGGTTTAGTTTTCTTATATAATTCTTGACATGGCAACCACTTTTTGTTTCATTTAGCATAAGTTTCAAGCATAAGCATATTGAGTCTACTGAACTATGGCTATCCAGTTTTTCTCTGAATTCTTATATATTATATATATATTTGATAATTAACTATTTTTCATTTAATGCATTCTTCTTAACTACAAGCCTTTTTTATGAACCATGAATTAATACAACAGACATTTCACAATGTGTTGGGATGTGCACCACTTTATGTTTACAAGATGCATATGTTGTATAAAGTATTTTAATATACACCAGTGCAAAAAAAAAAAAAAAAAGAGCGGAAGAATCGTTTCACACTACATCCAGCAGGAAAAGTTGAAAACTTTCTTATGTGACAAATTTAACTGCACGACACTTTAGATAATCGAAAATTGTGCGCTCGGGAAAAGAGGTCGTTTTAAGGTTTGACCGCTGAATGCCCCCAACGATTACGTAACATGTAAGCTGCATTCAAGCCAAGCGAGTTGTTTACATTTGCAGAACATTTGATTTCCTCAGTAATAACGACATCAGTTGATTTCAGATCTAAATACACACAAAGGACACCTGTACAAGTTGTGTTAAATGTACAAACTTACATTTGAATTATAACTTTTTGTCGAAATTGCTGAGTCCGCCAGTCCTCGGCTTTCTCGGCCATGTTGTCGTGAGTATGACTTCCGGTGTTTTCATCCTCGTCTTCAATCCAAGATGTCAGCCGCCATGTAACCTGGGTCTTTTGTTTTTGACAACTGTTCACTCGTCATCGAGGCGCTTGTTCAAGACTACAGGCTGATATCTACTAGTACTACCAGTGGCTTCATTAGTAACGTTCCCACAATACTTAGTTTTCTGTCTGTGCGTACATACCCTGAAAAAAGCCAGCCTCGCTGACGAGAACAATGGACGTTTCTCACCCCTCTCTAGGATTACCCCTGACGTTACCCTCTCCCAAATTCTGACCCCTGACGTGGATTGTAACTGGCCGTGGCTTTACTGACTGCTGTCGTTCTAAAAATTGCTGTTTGCTTATGTTAACGTTGTATTTTTATTCAAATTGTTGTGGCATTTTCATAAGACAGTTCTGTAAAACCATAGCGAATCCACGGTCAGTGTTACCGAAGAAACTATTTTAGAATGGGAATCAAAACAACAATTTTGTCATTCCTTGTTGTTGTTGTAGCTTTGTTTTTGACACTGGAAGTGTTTCAGCCCCAGCGTGACTTCTTGTCGTCCAGAATGAACGACTTTCTTGTCTTAGTACGGTCGTTGGGGTCTGATTCCAAAAGTATTCATAAAGTATCTAAAAAGACGAGTGCTTCTAGTAAGATATTTACGAAGGACGAGTTGGCCACTTTTGATGGAAGTGAATCAAGTAATGGACTGTATTTGGCTATTTTTGGAAAGATTTATGATGTATCCAAAGGTCACCAACACTATGGCCCAGGTGGAGGATATCACTTTTTTGTTGGTAATTATATAAGTATTTTAAAAGGCTGACTGTAAGGAGACATTGCTCTCTGACTGCTATTTACTAGTAGTTTTGAGAGAAGGACCCTTTGACAGAACTTTATTGCAATGATCATTCACTCTTTCATCTGTTATTGTTGCTTTTTATTTATACTAAGGATGTGCGTAGTTTACATTTTAGAAACACCCATGCAAGATGCTGTTATAAGTTAAAGTGAGACTGTGGTTATATAATATTGTTTTAAGTTAAACAGCTAACACATATTAATTTAATACTCAATATTATGTTGGACATTCATTATTCATTAAGCTTGAATTTTGTGTCAATTTTAGGTAAAGATGGAACAAGAGCCTTTGTGACAGGAGAGTTTACCAGTACTGGGCTCATTGATGATGTTACAGGATTAGAACATAAAGACATGCTGGGATTGACAGATTGGGTCAAATTTTATGAATCATCTTATAAATATGTTGGTTAGTAAATATATTTTTCAGAAATGTGAAAACTATTTTTTTTCGGACTGTAATTATAGTCTTTTGCATAATGTACTTGGTATACGTGTCTGCGTGTGTGTTTTTTTCAATAAAACATCTTTAGATGCCGTAAAATATCACAGGGTTTAACATTTTCAGGGAAAGTTATAGGAAATTTTTATGACAGTGAAGGAAAGCCAACCCCAGCTCTTCACCAAGCTCGAAAAGCCATTAAGGTTGCTGAAAAACATAAAAAGGCCGATGAAGATGACAGGCATATGTATCCAGCTTGTAACTCAGAATGGGCTCAAGGCAAAGGAGGACGACTTTGGTGCTCTCCCATGAGGTGAGTAAGAAATGGAATGTCAAAAGTACTTTTCTGTGTAGAAATGAACAATTTTTCAATTGTTTTTCTTTAGATACACTAGTAAGAAGAAACCAGGATAATATTTTACTGCATGTTTTAAAAATGCAGTAAAAATTCAAATACTCAATTAATAGTAAAACAATTTACATCTACTTATAGCGTACAATATGCCATGTGTGACTGGTTATAATTAGATATCAACATTGATCCAGTACATGATCATAGGTCAAGCATTTAATTGCAGTGGCGGTATTGAAAGGGACTGGTCAGGTGTGCCAAGGAGGTATTACAAGCCGGGCAGTACCCAGTCTCGCTGTGCATGCATCAAGACATCTGGCCCACCATCTGATAATCCCTTGTCAAAGGAACACAAAAACAGAGGTGATCTGGATAACCCAAATTTCAGGCTATATGATAACTGTGATCCAATGTCAGATTCATGCAGAATTACGTAGCTGCAAAATCAGACAAGTTCTTGTTTCCTAAATAAATAAATAAATAAATATAAAAAAGCTGACAGCTGCAGATATGTTATTTTGCTTATTGAGGGGTATAACTGTGATAAAGGAATAATTGTGATGTTAGTACAAATGGGATGCAGAAGCAAGGACTCGCTATATTTGCAGTTTGGTATGGAAACAATGTTAACATTGCATGAAATAAAACTTGGGTCCAGTACATTTCTTTTGTAAATGTCTGTGAAAATTTATGTCATTTAATATTTATATCCTGTTCGAATAAGATTTGGTGCAATATTTTTAATCAGTATGCAGGTTTGTTGAAAGAAGAGATCTGAATTCTATACAACCAGATATATATATATATATGCAATATAAAGAACCTGTGCTAAATATTAGTACTCAGTGTCTTAACCTGTGATATGTGTGCATGTGTTCTGTAATTGTGAAGAGCAAGAATCAGTTAAATTTTCTTATAAAGTTTAATTTGCAAGAAAAAGAAAACATCTCTATCATTTTCAACGTATACAATGCTATGCATTAAAATCATTAAGTCTCTGGTTAACAAAATGTGCATGATCCTAAAACATTTGCAACCATTTAGAACTGTATCTGTTAATGGTCAGTGTTACGGTAATGGCAGTGAAGTATTGAAACTACATAGGTAGAACTGTCACACTGAAGAGATAACACTCGATATAGAGAACATATCTATGTACTACAGCACTCTGAAAGAGGACAATTACAGTAGATACACAAAACATATTGCTAATAAATAATTAACCTTTCTCCTTTAAATAAAATATGACAAGATATTAGGGATATGAGCATGCAACTTACTTTCCCCACAGGAAATGATTTACACATGTATTTTGACCTATCAAGCTGCATAGATCTTTTCAGTTCATATAAAACAATGCTCATTATCCAGAAAACCATGTAAATTGTGCAGGGATAAATATCTAACAAATTGCATCAGAATAAAATATTCTCAAAAACTCTTTTACAGCCTTATAACATTTTTTTAAATTTACAGTTACAGCATACTAAGTCACCAGAGCACGAGATTAAATGTACAAATTCACAAGATCTGCTTTGAGTTAACTTAGTTACATGGTAACTTAAGTAATAACACTTAACTCACTATAACACAGCTTATCAACAGGTGATAAACATTACAATATCTGACCTCAGGCTGAAATATTGCCAACTGCGGCTAGGATAGGTAATTGCAACAACATCCAGCAACCTTTTTTTTTTACATTAAATTTATGACCAAAAAGCAGGGTTGCTGTCTCTACACGTGCACTTTGGTACCCATTCTTATTGTTAAATTAAATGTTTACAAATAAATCTGAGCATTTTGAGTAGAGAAATGTTGACACCTATGAAAATGTATGCATGAAAAAATGTATTTGCTAATTCACAACATATGAACAATTGATCTCCCATAACAGAAAAGAGTGTATATTTTTCAGATTTCTACACTTCTTGTATGATTTGTAATTTGCTGAACTAGACAGCCTAGACAGCAAAGCTGACAAATATACAGACACAATACAGGAACAAGGCAGCAAAGCTGTCACATGTTCAGACCCACGCAGAAAATAGTGCACAATATAGTGTTTTGGCCAATTTTGATGCACTGTTAGATAATGCTTTAAAATAGCATAATCAATCTTACCCTCTTATATTATGTACTACAGGTAACATGGACATTGAAAAACTAGCAAGTAATTCAATTCCATATGATATAAAAGCCATTGAAAATGCGAATGTGTGAAAAAAGAAATTTAACACATGAAAATACAGAATAATTACCTTGAATGTTAACCAATCATGCCGATTTTTGAAAGCAACCTTATGGGCGGCGGTTTATACAAAAATGCAAAACACGATTAGTCGTCATCGTTATCAGATCAGTCGAAATGAAAACACGATTAGTCATCGTCGTTATCAGATCAGAAGGCAAAATACGACTAGTAGTCGTCAAAACGCAACTAGTCATCAAAACGCAACTAGTCATCATCAAAACGCAACTAGTCATCAAAACGCAACTAGTCATCAAAACGCAATTTGACGCCAGATGGCGCCCATTGTACGAAAATCTAGGCCAAGTCACATGATCCACAGTGATCAAAATGGCGGACGTTATTGAAGCAGCATTATCATATTCCTCGCTCGAACTCTAGAATTATCTCTACGCGTACAATCTAATAATGATATTATATATATAATAATATCTCGAACTCGAGATAATTCTCGAGTTCGAGCCAGGCGATGGCAACAGCGACAACGCAGACAGACCAATCAGAATATATACAGACACTTACAGTGTCTGTATATAAAAATAATTGTGACAGGATCCATTTCTTATGACCTAAACAGTAGCATTCTTTGATAACATTTCTTTCCAACAAACCCTGCATATTCCTTGACATCGCCCTCATCTCTTGCCCTTGGATTTAGTGCCTTGTACACAGTATAGGGCATTGCTTGTCTTTCAAACAGCACTAAAACTTCATCCAGGTTTACAACACCGTTCTCGTCAACTGCAGAGGAAAATAAAAACATCAAAAACTGACTCATTCTTAAAAGATAACATCATTTGTTAGCAAGATTTTATTGTTTACTTGCTATACAGTCTCAAGTAACAAGCTCTCAGAAATAAATGGACCACCATTAATAAAAAAAAGATAGCCATCTGTTGCTTGAAGATTTTGACTTCAGATAATCAAAATTTATTATTACATGTACCTTTATCTGCATCTTCAAACCTGTTGTACTTTCTAACATCTAGTTTTGGTGTACAAGCTTCAATGGGCACCCAAGTGCAAGCTTCAGGACAAAGAAGGAATGAAGGTACATATTGGCCCTAAACAAAAACAAAGCAATGATTCAATAAAAGTAATACATATCTCATTTTATAGTATTTATCTTTGGATTAGCACAGGGTTGTAAACTATGTTTGGGATTAAGGATTTCTTAGCTGCTACTAAATTCAGTTTTCTAGTTAATTTTTTTTCAGTTTTGGATAATGTGATGACTATCTACTGTTAAATAAAAAAAAACCTAGAATTGTATCAGGAAATGTGAGAACAAACCACTACAAAAGAACAAAATCTTATGACATGGCAACACTGCTATACAAACCTTGTATTTCATTTTGGGACATGAATGTATATAAAATCCCATATAGTAATATTTTAGATCAGGAGCTTCTTTTTGTAGCGACCTTGTGAAAGCAATTTCCCTGTTAAAAAGATTTTATATGAATATACTCACATCTGTACATGTAAAATACATTTATGAAATCCTTACAGTTAAAAAAATTATACAACTCAAACAATACACCCCCCTCCCAAGAAAAGTCAATATACACTTTTTCATTAACAATACCTACTGGATTTAACACAACATTTATAATAACAGACTTACAGTTGTACAGTAACAGTATGTTCTTCTTTTGGCACCATTTAAGTGATATTACAAGTCAATCTGTAAGATAATAAGACAAGAAGTAAACATACCTGAGAGCACTGTATGTCCCTAGATTTAAGAACTCGTAGTCTGGATCATAGTAGAGATAAACAGAGGAAACGCAGTAAGGTAGAATGTCTATCACTCCCACGGCTATGAGTTTCCCATCCAACCAATATTGTTGGTGGAATGAGCCATATCCACATCTAGGGCCATTGGATGGTTTTTCAGGCTGTATATTAAACAATGTGATAAAACAATTTTTGAAAGGGTAAGCCTTGTTAATTCTAAATAATTCATTATTTTTAAATCATTCTACAATTTGAGAATACAGAAATAAATATATACTGACATAAGAAATAAAAAAAAACATTTAGCATTTAGAAAACTACTTAAACATGCAATCCTTCCAAGTAAGTTGAAAGATAAGAATCATGGTAATTAATGACTGAAACTCACCTCCAAAGGGGAATCGACTAAGAAACTCTTGTAAGTGCTTTTGGTATTTTCATGAGGTTTCTCTTTGTGAATACCAATTTGATACTTTTTAAAAATTTCATATGATTGTTCATATGAGCTATCAAACTCTGCAGTGTCTCTTGCACTCCTTGCAGTGTGTGGGGTAGCTACAAGTCTAATCTACAAGGCAACAAAAACTTGTAAATGAGGTGAAGCAAGCCAATATTAGTCACACTTAAGAAAGAAAAACATGAGCAAGGAGTATGAGGCCACCATTTTTTCACATGATCAATGTGCAAGATCCTGTAACTTCAAATTTTATCAAGATATCTGTATATATATATATATATATCAAGAGCAATGGAATTTGATAATATTTGGGGGTGGGTGTTTTTTTTTCCCCATGATATGGCTTGCTTCATTCATTCAAAGCTTTTGTGTAATTTCACTTCAACTAATACCTGAAGAGGGGATTCCACCAAAAAACGTGTGTATTGCTGTTCTGAGGGTTTGCTAGGTGGATCTTTATGTACAACCATTTGGTATTTTTTATATATGCTGTGTGACTCTTTAAATGTGGCATCAAACTCCTTGCTTCTTGGATTGCTCTGCACTAGTTTAATCTGGAAAGTATGTCATTGAACAAATAGCTTTTTTTTAGATCTGATGTCAGACGCAAAATTCAAAGTGTCACATTTTAGATTTAATAGTACAAAAACACAAATCTGTGCCCAAAATCATACAAATTTTAGCTTTATTAAAAAAAAAAAAATTACACATGCAGGCTATTTTCCATATTTCAATTTAATGAACTTTGATTTTGCCTATAATAAATAATTCAACACAGCATGGCATGATTCAAAACTGCTAATACAAATGATTACCTCTAATTTATGCTTTGGATTTTCAGTTGATAATTCTTTAAGCCATTGATCTATGGATTTGGGAGAATTACCACTTGGATTTTCCTGTAAAATAGTAAGTAAACAGTATGTATATATATAAAATATATTATTGCATTGCTTTGTGCCAATTTTACCATTAATAAACAACAATATTTTTGCTTCTGAAATAATACCCAACAAGATAAAATGAAACCACACTTTTTCTGTTGTTGAACTTACCATCAATCCATGTGATTCTGCCTGTCCTTCCTGGTGCACTTTTGCTAGCTTTTGCTTCTTTTTCTCCAACCTGAGTAATTTTGCTTTTTTGCACGGAGGTTTAGTTGGATCTGGACCTTTACCTTTAAAATTCATAATAAACAGAACTATATTAACATGATGTATGTATGGCTAAATGATAACTTTGAAACATCTTCAAGACTTCAAATGACATTGGATGGAGGAAGAAAGACTTTTACCAAAATTATTAGAGAGTTGTGGAGCTAATTTTTTTTCATTTACAGTTTTAAATCAAAAAAAAAAAAAAAAAAAAAATTAACACTATTTCAGACTTTTAAAAGGACAAATACCTGGTGCTGGTTCCTGTTTCTCTTTCTGCCTCTCCTTTGTAGTCTTCCCAGCTACTGTTGATGTTCCAGCTTTTTCTTGGGCCTCTACATTATCACCTGTCCCAGATCTAATACCTGTATTCAAAAACTTGTGTACCTTCTTCAGACACTTCTTATGTGATTTATTTAACTGGAAGTCCAACACTCCACATTTAATTGTGTACTGAGGGCAACAGGTCTTTTTCATGGTAGGTTTGTATGTATATTTTCCACTTCTGAAAAATAAAAAGGTACTTTTTTATTGGGGAAAAAAGGCAACTTTGGCCACATAATACTTTGTTTGAAAATGATAATAATAATAATTATTTACAAAATACTTTAGTGTCAAAGAAAAAATGACACTCCTTGGAAATTTTTATTATAATTTTAACTTTACTCTGATTCCTTTTCTGACCATACCTTCTCCATCCTCTGTCAATAAGATCTTGGTAATCCTGAACGGTGAGCCGATGGGCCCACATCCCTAAAAAAAAGGTAAAAATTTAATTATAAAGTGCAAATTCTGTATTATTACAACATATGGAATTTTCCATACTTAATCATGACATTATTTTCTAAAAATTTATTGTAGCTAACTGCTGAATCTATTGCTTTTAAATGGCACTTGCACTTATATATATGGGGACTTCCACAACATCCATCCAATTTTGGTCACATAAATTTCAGAATTGGATTGGATCAAAAATTCACTCTAATTTTGATATCTTTGATAACAGGATCTAACTCTTCTACATCATTGGCAACCAAAACAGCATACCATGTGTGTATTTTGAGCACCTGCCACTGCAGTACCCACATGGCCCTCTTTCTCTTTTCCCCCTATACTCCACAATACTGTGCTGAGTTTCTGACATCTTAGTCTTCTTAATATTTCTTTATTACTGGGGGGAAAATGAAAGAAAGAAATAGAAATTAAAAAATGTTTTAAAATACATAGGGATAGCTTATATTAAATTAAAGGTAAAACACCCATGATAGCTGTTTTGGTTTTAATTGCGGATTAAAATGTCTTTTGTTACAATTCTGACAGTGAAATATGATATTCCACTTGTGAAACAGGGTTATGTTACAGAAAAGTGAGGCCTCTTTTTTATTTTCTTATTTTTTTTATTAATTTATTTTATTATTATTATTATTATCATTATTATTATTATTTTTTTTTTTTAAATTAGTATTACCAGATAACTCCTATCATAACCAGAGATTAGTAAAATATAATCAGACATAAATAATAAGAGTTTTGGTTTTGTCAAGAACCTCAGATTAATCTGAAATATTGTTTTGCTAAAATTCTGACTTTGGCCTTTCCTCCCCAAAATTCACCTTCCAACATTAAAAGTGAAAAACTGAAAAAGTAAAAGTGAAAAAGATAAATATGAATTTTTATTATATAGATAAGCACTCTTAACTATTTTTAAGGGGCATTTGTTATAAATTTGCATCCTTAGCAGTGCAGTATGCCTTAAAATGAGGGACATCATTGTTTTCAGTGCGGGAATATGCCAGTGGCGCAGTCAAGATGTACAAAGACAAAACAAAATTGTGACAAATTACAGGAAATTGATTATTTATCAATAGACAACATTTTCAAAGACGGAGTTATCATAGTCGTTATAGTTTGCCATGTAATATCCGAATAAAAAAATGTAGAAGCGTTATTTCTCTACCAGACAGTCTTACTTTTCATGTATCTGATCATCTAATCGATTTTTCGCCCAGTCCACGAAATACATTCTCGATCAAGTTTTGGTGCCTAAAAGTTTGTCGAAATATGCTGCAATTCAATTTACCGTGCGAATAAGACGACGCCAAGGATTTGCAGTAACCACACCTACTACCATCTTCCCCAGGGAAATATTCGACAACACTGCTCATTGTAATACAAACAAATTGTGAGCATTTAGAGTTGCTGATGCTTCCTTGTTGTCGGGCACCCTTAGTTTTGAACAACATTCTAGATGGCGCTCATATAATGAAAAATCCCAAGAGGCAAATCTGAAATTTATTATGATCCAGCTTGAGCAATCAATCCTAAGAATGATTGAGATACAAATAACATTATATATAATAATTTAATGAGGTGATGAATACATTTCATATTTTGAAATTGTAATTTTGATCAAATCACATGTTGCATCTTGATTGACCTAGTTCTTTAATTGGTAAACATGGCCTCCTGTTTCAGAGCGGTTTGTGCAAATCGCTATAAACTTTTATCAATTAATAAGTTATTTAATGCATCACCGTGTATACGAAACGTGAAAAGATATTCTTCGTCATTTACTTACTATCCAGATGTATCACCAACAGAGCTTGGTAAGTTTATTTGCACAAAAACCGGCATTTGAATTAAAAGTTTACTCGGACGTACACATTTATTGGTTAAAAATTCAGCGTCTTTTTTTTTTTACTATGTATTGATTTTCTTTGCTTATCGTGAAGTAAAATTTTCTGAAAGCATAAATTTTATGAATATGATTTCTTTTTCTAGGCGAAACGACCCGTATGAATTTGTTTCAATCCCTAACCAATGCTATGGATATTGCCCTGGCATCAGACCCATCAGCAGGTAACCTGGAAATGTTTGATTATAATAAATTAATTGTTATATGTGTGTGTGTGTGTGTGTGTGTGTGTGTGTGTGTGTGTGTGTGTGTGTGTGTGTATAATCCTTAGCGTAGGTCTGACATGGTTCCTGTTTTGCTGTCTCAGATGTGTAGACAGGTAAAATGATAAGATTGCAATATTTACAACGTCTGTAATATAACATAGGATTAATAGTTGTATTAAGTATTCAACCCTTAGGTGCAGCATATTAAATATCTGTTTCAGTGTTTGTATATGTTTCCTATTTTTAGATCTGTTGACAGGACTATATAAAAAAAGTCATTATTAAAATATTCAGATATTTTGATAACTTGCATCTCACTTTTCCAGTTGTGTTTGGTGAAGATGTTTCATTTGGAGGTGTATTCAGGTGCACGGTAGGACTGAAGGACAAGTATGGTTAGTATGTAGGCACATGCACAGGTGTTTACTTTGAATTGAGGAAAATGTCAGTGTCATTTTTTAAATACATTTTTTGGGATTGATGGTCACATCTTTTGATGGGTAACAAATCATAATATACCAATTTTATTATGAAAGTTTTTTTCACCTATGATCTTTCAATGTAATTTTAGAAGTTCTTTTGTCAGAAACTTGTGGAATAAAGTGATACTTAATCAGCCAATATTTCATCTGTTTGCAGTCAGACTTCATTGGAAAATGGGCCTGTGATAGGCAGGCATGAGCAGTTTTCCATGAAATCATGGAATTCATGATTTTTAACCCAGTTTTTCAGGTATCCATGGATTCCTGGCTAATAGGTGTTGGTGCTACAATAAATATTTACAGTTTTTTTCAAAAACTCAGGCTCATGTCTGGATAGGTGTGACAACTTATCACTCCCCGGCACTGCCTGGCGTACTTATTTAGTCGCCCCCCCCTCTTCCTGCTCTTTCCCTTGACATCATTCTAGTTGAGTTTGCCTCCCACATAGACAGATGTTGGTTGTTTCCAGGATTTTGCAGTGGGGATCATGTGATCTCTATGTTTCAGTAGGTATTGATGTTATAATATTGTGCCTTGTTTTTTGTTGGTGTTGGCTGAGGATAGATTTTGATGCCACACCTAGCACAGCCTCATTCCCAGATGAAGTTCCACTGTAAGCAGATGAAATATTGGCTAGTTTAGTTTCAGTTGGCAAAATATTGGCAAAATAACATCTACTATTCTGTACCAACTTTTATCTTTACTATTATTATTGTTTTATATGTATAGTATACATCAAGAATTTGACTTATTGTGACATGAAATTTAACATTCTTAATTGAGTTTTCATGCTTATGAGTTAACATGAGATTGACTGATTAACTGGAATTCTTTGTGTAATACAGAATATTACATTGTTTAGAAATACAGATTTTTGATTTTATAAATCACTGCCTTTTAGCACTGGTCAAACTTCTAATGTCTAATGGTATTTGTAATAAAACAAATAATATACAATAATATCTAATGGTATTCGTTTTGAAAAAAACTTCTGTCTTGATAGGTGCAGACCGGGTTTTCAATACTCCTCTTAGTGAACAAGGTATAGTTGCATTTGGTATTGGTATGGCAGTAGCTGGGTCTACAGCAGTAGCTGAAATACAGTTTGCAGATTATATATTCCCTGGGTTTGACCAGGTAGGTAAAAAAAAGAGTAAGTTCTTCTTTTCAAGTTTTTATGAAATTCAAATGTTATTGTCCATGTTTTTATTATTATTATTATTATTATTTTTTTTTTTTTTTGCATCATATGTTTGAAGGGATAAAGATTATCAGATTCTTGAATATCCAGTGAAAGATACTTTATTGACATATGTAATAAGAAAAAATGAATTATATTGATATTGAATTTTTGTTTGTTTTCCTCAACCAAAGTAAAAAAAGTAACTCAGATTTACTAATTGATCTTCTAAGATCTTGTAAATATCAAAATTAGTGTAAGAACTAAGTTTTTTCAAACATGGATGGAGTGCAAAAATTCTATTAGAATATTGTCTGTTATTGAATAGCTTAGAAAGTACCAAAAGAAATGATTGGTTTTTTATAAGTTATTATGTGGCTGTATTTGTTAAAGAATTAATACTAAATAGTTTTTTGATTGCAGATAGTTAATGAAGCTGCAAAGTTTCGATATCGATCAGGCAGTTTGTTTGAATGTGGCGGATTAACTATACGAGCCCCTTGTGGTGCAGTGGGCCATGGTGCATTATACCACTCACAAAGTCCAGAGGCTTTCTTTGCACATGTCCCTGGATTAAAGGTAAAAGAAAAGGACAAATAAACTTTGGTCACGCATCTGAACAAGCCAGTTAAAGTTTTACATATAGACAGACAACCTTTGGCATTTAACATAACATAACAAAACACCAATATACACATTTTTGGTCTTGACACCCAGCCACAAACTTCTGCTGTAAATGCAGGGTTGAAATTATTGAAAGAAATATTGAATCAAGAAAAATAATTCAATCTGGCTGTTTTATATCTCAAGCTATATTTTAATCCTATGAATTATTTACACAAGTTTGAGAATCTGCTGTCCTTTATGTGGACATTAAGGAATGAACAGGTCATGGCAGTTCAGTGTCACAAATGTGCAAATTTGTAACTTTTCAGGGAAAATAATCCAAACAGGCTGGTTTTCAAACCCAAACTATATTTTAGTCATAAGAATCTTTTTTTTTTTAAGTTACAGAGTATAAAGTAGTTGCCCAATTTTTCTTTCATAATATTAATGAGGAAATTGCACAACAGTGACACATGCAGTTGATGGCTTACGTCCAAACGTACAGTGTCCGTCCATAAATAATTTCGATACATTTGTTTCATTTAGTGGTATTTTGAAACATAAGCCTTAGAAAAACCATGTCAAGGATAATGCATTTTACATGCATTATGCAAGACATGCAGGCACTCTGCATCTGGCCTGTGACATCACCTGGCGTTGTGCAAAGTCTGAAAACATGGCATGTCACTTAGCATTACACAGACTTTTTGGGATATGTAGGAGGACACATTTAATTTACACTCAGTCATTAAAACAAACACAACTTTAGTAAGAGTCTAATGTGAGCATGGTTAAGGTAGTAAATGTTATGTGTCTCAATTGTGATTTTTAAAATACTTTAAAAAAAGATGTACCAGGGTCCAGGAATATTGTGGTGTCAGTAGATATCAGTCAAAAAAACCAAAAGTTATTCTGGACAAGAATGCTGTGGAATTTCATTTCATTTTAGCATATTAAAAACTCATCTACTGCAAATTTTACTTCATATCATTTATTATATTGATATATAACATGAGGGTTGCTGTGAAAGCAAAGTCTAGCCTTTTTAGTCTACCTACACACTTTGATTCACCTCTCTACCTTTTTGACAACTCATCATGGGTTGTCCATGGAGAATGCAAAACTATTGTTATCATAAAGTAACTCTATTTTGAAAATTTGTGAATGGATCTTGTGATAAATGTAGGTTCTTGTTCAAACAAATCATTACCCTCTGGCCTGTTAAAAGCGAGGGGCAGTAGATTGATTGTCACAATGTGCCCTGACGTTTCTACAAGACTCGACATGTTTACATGAAAGCATTTAGTCGTTTTGATGTTTAACAAATTGCTCATGGCACTTTCATTTCCCAAGTGGTGAAAGAAGTTGTTTGCTAGTTTCTGCATGTAACAAAATTGTTAACATACTTGTGCCAGTATCTTCAAAGCTATACAACTATACAACAAGGAAATAATTACTTATAGTGCTGTAATATGAGTTTATCTGTATGTACTACCAACCACAACAACTTCACAACATACCTAGGCCCATGAAAAAAGTTGCTTTGTTGACTGAATAATAACATAAAAATGTTTCATCACATCTGATCAATATTAGATAAATTATGTAAATGGTATAAGGGCTCCATCTTATATATTTTTCTTTGGGGGGGGTTTTCATATCTAAATATTCATAAGGTTTATTGTTACCATTTGCATATTTTTGTTAATTTTTTAGGTTATGGAATATTTTTATATCGATCATTAAATGTTGAGGATAACAGCTGTGTTATGTGTTATGTGGCATCTCTTAACAATTTTCTTTAGAAATAAGTTTTATGAAAATGTACATGTAGAGCACAGTGATAAGATTAAAGCTGTCAGTGATTGCTTTCAAAAAATGCCTATTTTCAGTTATTCACTTTACTGAACTGCAGTATTTAATCCTTGTGGATTTTTTTATTCCTTCTTATCACATCAAAGAGTAAAAGAAAAGGGGCAGAGTGACAGACTGTACAGGGTAAAAAGTTCAAGGGGTGAAAAATTGTGTTACAGGAGGAGAAATACTATGGAATGGCCCTTTTTTAGTTTTTTTTTTTTTTATACTTTAAAAGATCTTTTTATTCTTGTAATCAGGCTAGTAATTTACTTGAGAGATCTGTCACTTATAGGCAAATGCAGCAGTATGTTGATAGTACATTTGTGGTCAGATGTCCTCTCAGCAGCACTATTAAATATCATATTCAGAATCATCAGATGCCATTTAGTTACTTAACGTATTTTTTCTGAGATTACTATAAAGATATGAAGGAATAAAGCAGTGGTGCAAAATATTTTAGGAAACAGACACTTAACTTACTGATTAGAAAACATATTGTGATACCTCAGCCCTATCTTAATGTAACACATTTCTTTATGATTTTGACTAATGGTTATTTTAACAATTTTCACTTTAGGTCGTTATCCCCAGGGGTCCCATACAAGCAAAAGGTTTACTTCTCAGCTGTATTAGAGACAGGAACCCTTGCATTTTCTTCGAACCAAAAATTTTATATAGATCTGCGATTGAGGAAGTGCCATTAAAGGATTACACTCTACCCCTATCTAAGGCTGAAGTATTAGATGAAGGTAAGCATTCTGATGAAAAAGCAATCTCTAAAATTTGCAGTTCTTGCTGGCTCAGTGCGAGTTTCTTTGTACTTTGGCCTTCCAAGCTGCCAACATATTCTTTCTGTTTCAAGTAGAGGTTCTGTGCACCCTTCTCCTTGCAGCAAACCCAGATAACTATTATAAATATCATATGATAACAATCTGGTGGTCATCAGTGTTAACACTATTATAGGAACATTGTGAGGTATTGCTTTTTCTGCTACTGCCCTTGATCCCACAGTAGCAGCCATCACCTTTGTCCCAGCCTTCCACCTGTTGATAAGATCGTCTGATTGAACACAATTTTCCATTTAACCCGAACCTAATGTCCATTGAATGGATAAGTTTAGTGTTAAAACAATATGGGGTCTTCTTCTCTTTGAAAGAATGGGGATAGGTACCACCACACAGAATATATTGTTGGGTTATTTGGAACTTATTATGACATTTTTTTTGTACTAAAGTGGGGACAGCTAGTATCAAGACTCTTCCTCTGACATTTTTATTACTACTACCACTCTCTTACAAGCAATAAAACTATCATTTAGAAACAAGACACTCAGGGCACAGTTACCATGATTGTTATAAGATTTTCATGGGTTTAGGTAATATTTTAATGCACACACGTGGATACAAAGCAAGATTGAAGACAGCAAAGTTTTTTTATTGAATAGTTGTATCATTGCACCAAGAGTTATGGTAATGTGCTTTTTTATAGTGTTGCAGTTTGCATTTTTGCTAGATTTATAGAATCCAAATTCCAGACAAGTACACATATAGGAACGATACCTGCATATAAAATACCTTACCTAACTCAGAGTTGCATTTGGAAATTCAGTCAATTCCAGAAAAGTATTTTTGATATAGATATTAACCAAAATTTGTGTAAGTTTTGCATACTTAAGGAGCTAAAAGACTCAAGTGGCCGACTATTCAGTATGCTGTCATTGTGTGTGGTGTGCAGGTAACAGAATTAGTAGTCAAGTGTGCTTCCTTATCATCTTTCACTAGCTTTGAGAAGATGATGAGGATTTTTAGAAATTTCTTTAAAGGTTCCTAGATTTGCACAGTATGGTTATTTTTGTTTATACTTGTCATCATCATCATCATCATCATCATCATCTTTGAAAGCATGATTGTCTTTGAAGAATGGAAACACTGTTACTAGTATATTTGCCACAGCCTGTTGTCTTCTGCGTGTAGGCAATGTCCTGGTATGTGATCCATTGCGTCAAGTGCCAAGAGAAGCAATCAAGCTGTAGTTTGCTTGATCCTGGCAACATTAGAGTAGTTTTCAACATTGTATCTAATCCAAGTACCGACTGCCTGTTTACGGAAGACCCCAGACATATCGTTGTGCCAACTAGCCAATCAGATGCAACATGTTGCCTTGTTTTTCTCCGGGTCATCAAAATTGGGGACAGAATCTGAGTGGCTTTTTGACTGATCATGTGGTTACTGCAAGTGTGTGAGCTGCCAGCTCATGGCTTTAAACATCATCACTTAGCAAGGCAGTACAAAAAAAAAAACGTAGAATATCTTTGCATCTGACAAATGTGTGTACGAAAAGATTATTTTTTAAGAGAATTTAGTTATTTGATGTCATTTGCTCATATAATGTGCCCAGCATTTTGTGTAGAAACCCTTGGAAGGGATGGCTTAGGAAGTACTATTGTATTATATGATATAAAAATTTGTATTGTAGAACCTATTGATTGCATATTTTAAATTTTTTCATGGCTCATGGATGTGAGGTATAAATTTTCAGGGGATTCAAAGCTACCAAAATATATCCATGAGTCATGATAAAAATGAAAAAAAAAAACTAAATAAATAAAAAACATTATTATACTATTCCTCAAATTTTATTTCCCATTTGTTTCCTTATTTTTCTGAATTAAGAATGTAGTAGGTTTAACTCAGAAATGGTATACTGGTAAAGCTGAAGATGGTCGCACTATGTATAAATTTACAAAATTGTGTTAGGACATTAATTTGCAGCATTGAATAAAAATCTGTGGTTGGAATGCAGGGAAATAGTTCATGCATTCATGTTTCTAGGATAGGTTGTTTGTTTTGCAGGAGGTAGTCCATTCTAAATGTCATACTACAACAATGGGAAAATGTAGTGGAATTATGAAAAGACTTAGTTTTACAAGGACTTGTCCATAGGAGATGTTACCACCTAGTGGAACTGATAATTTTATATACTACCTGTTACATATGACATGTTAGATAGGACACAGACACCATGTCCAAGGACAGCAAACAAGGTTATTCAACTGTCAGTCAGATTTATAAGGTAATTGTGCCAAATACTAATTTTTGCTTAGAGATTTTAGTGGAAAACCATTCTAAGGGTACAGAAAATGTAAATCCCATTTTATTTATTTTGAAGTGCTTTTCATTTGATCTTAAATCAGACGAGTTATAATCAAGGGACGAAAATAAATCACAAAACGTTTTTCTCCAGTCTGTTGTGTGAGGATAATAATAAAGCCTCTTTATTTTTGTATAAATGACTCTCTTGTGTTGTTAGCTGCACTAGTGTCTGGAACCCCATAATTTACTGTAGGCAGAATAACAGCATGCCTTTTGTCTATTAGTTAATTCTATATGTTAGGGACTATTGTTTTCACTACAAGTTCCATTTTTAGATTTATTTCATTTGATTTTGATATTAAGCCTGTATAAAATCATGAGGGTTTAACATTTCACGTAAAAAATGCAACAGAAATACTATAAAATGCGTTATTTAAAGTGAGTTATTTGTTGAAACTGTTTTGTGAGACTCACTACTGCTGATGGTTTTATGGTTGCAAGTATTCAAGAGACAAAAGTAATCATTTTCAGCAAAATATAAATTTTGTTATACTTGGTGTTTATCAGTAATTTTGCTAATTTATAGATTTTAAGTGGTATACTGGCAGGTCATGTAATATTTGGTCTTGCTTTATATGCTAGCAGACTATTTCACCGCTTTGTCTTTGAATATATCCTGTTTTCTTTGGCTATATTTTTGCACATACTAAACTATGTGATGAATATTTGTACATTTTGGTAGCTTTGAATCCTCTGAAAATTTAATCTTAACTCCCCATGTACTGAACGGATGTTTAACTGAATGTCACCCCTTGGCCTCGACATTGTCATTTACTCTAAGCAGTTTTGAAACAAAATTGTCGACGAAATCTGACATTCAAAGAAACACAACAAAAACAGCAGTTTTGGTTGCATTGTTGAGCCTCTGTCTTCAATATCTGAGAGAAAGTGAGTATTTATACAGTTTAAAGGGACCAGATTTTTGGCTTAGGGAATACACACATCTGAATCTGTATTTTCTTATACTTATTCTATAACTTTCTATAACTTATTAAATTCAATTAAAGTTTTAATGAATGAAAACTCTTTGTTATTATCACTTCACTGCAAGTAAGGACGGAAAATTATTTCTTTTAGTTTCATTATTAATGTCACCTGGATATACCAGATCTGCTGTTTAACCCTTTGTAAACAGTGCCATCTTTTTTATTTCACAGCTAAGCTTACTTCAACTAGTATATGAGGTCACCAGACAGTCAGATTGCTCAACATGGGAGTTTTAATATGCCAGGGTTATGGGGTTCCTTATGTTATGTATGGTAGTCATCTTTTGATGCCATTTAGTATATTCTTTGTCCAGGTTTTGTCGTATTGGGAAAAGGCTTTAACTAACCTCACTGCGGTCCAACAACTGCAAGCAGTGAAAGTAATTTTATCGTAAAATATACATTAAAAGTCTAGACAACATAATCTAAAACAGATTTTGGTATGTAGGAGATTCGCAATTAATGTAAAGGGGATGTTTAAGAGCATCACCATGGCTCATGCAGCAAACCTGTGACAGAACAGCCATTTATATTTATGGTTCCTCAAATAGAACTGTTGACTATTTCCGTGTTGCCAGAACTTGACAACCATTTTGGGGTATTAATTAACCAGTCTTCACTAAAAGTAACAAATTATCTGTGGCAAATGGTTTCCTAACTAATTTTTGCACCAATGCTCAGCTTGTCAAGCCTAGATTAGTGATGAGTTGGAGCTAATTTATCTTAAGGAGGCTGATAAGTAAAATGACGGAAACATTGCTACATCATTAGATAGAGCTCACACTTTCGTTATCTTTGAACATGGGGAATTATATATGTGCATTGATTCTTAGAAAACAATAGATCTTTTGTAGATAGTATTTTATGTGCTTCATTAAGAAATCACACTATTACATCACAGGTACTGGTACCTTTTTAATACAATAGTTTTTATTGTCCAGTAAATGAAAAGGGAAGATGTCAAGGTTTTCTCTCAGTGGCAAGCTCTCTATGGTAATGATATCGTTTCCCTCTTTGATTTCTCCCAGATGTGTTGTTTAATTAACCTGATCACCTGGTCAGTTATTGCCCCACCTTTCAGTTTTGAGAGGTTTTTTTTTTACCTCAAAATTGACAGACTGCATTTTAATGGCAGACTCACAATATGTCCTCCCACTATTGAAGCCCATATCTGTTGCCATTAACTGCCCTTCTCTACACTGCAGTGGTTTGTAAAGTGGATTAAGGGCAAGAGACTTTTTGTTTCTAGGAAATGTAATGTATACCAATGGATAGATATAAGGGCATATATAACTTAATATGCCATTTGATTATTATGTGTTTCTGTTAAAAGGATTCCCAGATATGAAGTAGTCATCAGGCCGATGGCAAGTTTCAGCTAAGATGTTAAAGCGATGCATTGCTGGCAAGGCAGTGCCTGAGCAGTTACGGTGTTGCTTGCATTTTAGTATCTCGAATGAGGATGTTAGAAAGTGAAACCAAAAATAATTAAATCAAATTTTCAATTCAATTTATTATAGGTCATTGGAAGAAACCTTTTGTAATAATGATTTAATTTTGAATTGCGTCTTCAGTTTATCATGTGCATTATTTTTTATTAGGCCATTTTGT